ATGATATTTTGAAATGTAATGCATCGTGAAATTATTACCACAAAGTATTAATGTATTGATCCCCTCCAATAGATACCTGTGTGTGTGTGTGTGTGTGTGTGTGTGTGTGTGTGTGTGTGTTTGGTGAGAACACATGATATCTATCTATCAGCAAATTTCAAGTGTAGAATACAATATTATTAACTATAGTCACCATGCTATATAGTAGGTCTCCAGAATTTTATTTTGTACTGGGAAGTTTGTACCCTTTGATCAATATATCCCCTTCTCCTCCACGCCTAGACTCTGGTAACCATCATTTTACTCCATGTTACTGTGAGTTTAACTTTTTTACAATGGAATATTATTCAGCCGTAAAAAGTAGCAAATCCTGCCATTGGTGACAACATGAATGAACCTAGAGGACATTATGCTCAGTGAAATAAGCCAGTCACAGAAAAAAAATACTGTATAATCTCATTTATATGTGGAATCTAAAGTAAAGTCATATTATTTTTATTATCACCTCCATTGGTTACCAGAGTATGCAAATTAAAGATAATAATATACCATGTAAGTCACATGAACAGATGGCCCAGATCCCCATCCATCTTTTTATGTTGCACCAACACTGCTCTCTTAGCTTATGTCTATAGTCTCATTAGGTATTGCCTATAACCAGCTAATGGAGGACAAAAAAATCTCCCGCCTGGTAGCTGATGAGTTGGTTTGCTATTTTGGTGTGAGCTGAAAATGGACCTCCACTGCACTGTGCCTACTTAGGAGTGGCCTTTCAGGACAGTGAGGGGGGAGTTTTCCCCACAATGAGCAGAGATTCAAGTAGCGTATCCTTTAGGAGGAGAAATGACCTGAAGCAAAGATACACATGCGCTCTTGGGCAGTGACGAACGGATAGACCGATTTGCAGGACTTGGAAGGGACAACTTTAGAAAATCAGAGGCAAGGAGGTCTGGGAAAAAAGCATGTGGATGGATCTATGTATATACATAAAATAGTTGGCAAAATAAATATTAGTTCCATCCTTTATTCAGAGAAGTTAAATAATTTGTCCCAAATCACAAACCTAGTGACGGGGCTAAGGATGAATCCGGATAAGAGGAGTAGAATCCAATTGCCTGACTTTTAATCTAATGTTTATCTATTATTATAGCAGGCAAAATGTAAAGCCAGAAACCAGTAGGTGCAAGAATCTTTGGAATATCAACAACCTCGCAAATAAGAATTCTATTCTCTAATTATCAACAAAGTATGATGGTGGAGATAAAGCATTTTCAGATATTGAATGTCTGAAAAAATTTACCCTCAATACACTACTATTTGAAGGTGGTATGCTTTCAAAATGAGAAAATAAAGCAAGAAAAACAAAGAAGAAGACATGGGGTATTGGCTGAAAGATGAAGGGACTTCCCAGATGAATGATAGAGGATGATTACACAATGACAATTGTATTCCGAGCATAGGTGGCGACCAGTATAGACCAGTATAACTCCAGAGGCAGATGCCGACCTCACCAAGATGCCTGAGGTCCTTGTGCTGTTGTTTAACTTGAATGCTGAATGCCTGGGGGAACCGGGCCCATGTTCTTTTTGGTGCTGGTTGGCTCTCACCATGTGCTGATGAAGCTGCAGCTCTGCTGTCACTGCCCTGGGTCCACTGAGGAAACTCATTTCACTCTTCAGAAGTGTTCTGCTTTGACCTGCTACTGAGAATTGGAGGGAGGGTATTGGGATCTAGGAAAATACAGATTAGCCTACTGTCCTGGCCATATTCCTGTTGGACAGCCATTTCTTAGCTCATAAGCATAACCCTGCCAGATGTCCTGATTATGATGAGACCTGTATTTTCTATACAGGACTCATGATTCTACCCCATGGCTTCCTCAAAGGGCTTTTGTAACCTGTAGAAAGCTGAAGCAAGACTCGATCCCGAGGCGCTTTAGCTTCTTTTCTGCTGGGAGCCTTCGTCGAACACGAGCCATTAATGTTTTTTTCTTTCTCAGCTAGGTTTGTGACTAGAGCTCAGTTTTAAAAAAATTGAACTATGTTTAGAGATAAGTACATTGGTTTACCTTCAAGTTTATTTTCAAAGAAAATTCAGCATAGTGGTCACTTCCAGGGGTAAGGGAATGTGATAGGAGAGGGACCGAAAGAGGACTACTGCTATCGTGGCAGCATTCTCTTCATAACCTGGGTGCTGAGCACATTGGAATTCATTTTCTTCTTCTTTAATACATGTTTTATATACTTTAAATTCTTCTTTAATAAATGTTTTATATATGCTTCTGTATATATGATAACATTTCACTCACCCAAACACATCCTCTTAGCAACTAAGAATATGAGGGATTTTTCTGATAATGCTATCCATGGAAAAATTTAGAAGCATTTCTTTCCCATTAAAATGAAGAATAAACAAAGACGCCTGCTGTCATCACTTTTGTTCAGTATTTTACTGGAGATCTTCACTATGAAATTGGACAATAAAAAATTAGAATAATAATTGGAAAAGAAGCCTAAGATTGTCCTTATTTAAAGATCATATATAGAAAATTCAAAGAACCTAGAAACAACTGTTATAAATTCAGTAATGTTTATGTATAAAGACCAATATACAAAAATAAAGAGTATTTCTGTAATAGCCAATAATTCAATTAAAATGTAATACACAGCCGGCTGAGTGGCTCTGTTGGTTAGGAGCTCGCTCAAGAGTGTGAGCTCTGAGCAACAGCGGTTCGAGTCCTGGCCCGAGCTGAGCAGCCACTGAGCTGCCAACAGGTGGCAGGATGGCTCAGCTAGAAAGAAAAAAAAAAGAAAAAAAAAAGGAAAATGTAATACAGTTATATCTCAATATATCTGGAAAAATATAATAGAAAAAAATAGATTTTTCAATAGCCACAAAACCAGAAAGTACTTTATAAATAAATTTTAAAAATATTTGCATAGACAGTACAAATTGGTAATTGCAATATGGCCTCAGGGATAGAAAAAGATAGTCCGAGGAATACAATCAATAACGTTGTAAGCATTTCTTAGGGGGCCAGATGGACCAATGCCCTTTTGGGGAGTCCACTTCATAGTTGATGTAGAGGCCTGACCACTGCATTGTATTTCTGAAACTGATGTTGAATAATACTGTATGTCAACTATAATTATATATACATATAACCTCGGGACACGGAGTAGAGTGCGGGAACGGATTCAATGGAATTGTAATAGATAAGCATGATATCGGGGGTGGGAGGGCAGTGGATGGGGGGAGGGGGGTTGTTACTTTGTGAGGGTGAAAAGGGTAACTATTGCATTGTTCTGTACACCTGAAACTAACAATAAAAAAAAATATTTGCATAGAATTTTTGGAGAAAATGATTATTGAATGACAAAATGGAAGACTGGAATAAATTCATAATATGAATGTCAATTCTTTAATTTACAAATTGAATATAATTTCAGCAAAATCACAACAGAATTTTTTCCTATCATTTCTTAATTTTAATATTTTATTATAAAAGTATGTGGAAGTGCAAAGAGCCAAAAATAACTCAAGAATTGGTGAAGAAAAACAAGGTAGGGGCCCTGCCCCGCCAAATAGCAAGGAGTATTGTAAAGTCAGACTAATTTACACAATCTTTTAATGGTCCAAGAATTGATAATAGATCAATGGAACAGGATAGAGGCAGCAGAAACACTCATATATATGAAAATTAGATTATGACACAGGTGGAATTACAAATCAATAGGGAAAGAATGTACTATTTAATAAGTGGCACTAGAGACTTTTATCCGTATGGGAAAAACTTAAATTAGATCCTAAATGTATTTTAATCTCTAATCTTTAAATTATATACCCACTATTCTATATTTCATTATACACACACGCACACACACACACACACACACACACACACACACCCAGCGGTGCCAAAAATATGTATATAAGTGGACACTTTGGTCAACGCTGCTGAAGCAGTAGTTCACCATAATCAGAAGTGTCTGGACGCTGATGGTAACCACTTTGAGCACCTCTAGTAACTGCAGAAGTCAAACGTCACTTGTATTCATCTTTTGTTATCGGTATATATTGAGTATTACAATTTTAATAGTTTTTTCCTTTCTTAAAATGTGTATACCCTTTTTGGCATTTTCTCTCTCTCTTTCTCTCTCTCTCTCGAGCCAATTCCTTGTAATTTCTTTTGATTTAGTTTTGGTTAACTATAAAACAGAAGAGCAAATGAGTGACTGGCCTTAGAGGAGACTATGGTAGATTCAGCCGGGAGGCCCATTTTGGAGACACAACTCAGCTTCGGTTAATTGTCATGCAGGAATGTGGGCCTGTACTACCAGATTAAACCACATTAAAAAGAGAAGCAGGAAATCTGGAAATTTGCATGAAATTCCATGATTTTTATTGTTAACAACTGTTTTTGAAAAGTAAGGCACTGTTTGGGCCAAACAACAGTATCTGCATGGTCTCTGATCAAGGCAGTGACATGACCAGATTTTGGCAAGAGATGTTTATAGCCGTGATTCATCGTGACTGGACGATCTCTATATACCAGATGCTGAGTCGAAGACGAACATATGTTGTCTTATTTAATTCTCACAAGTATTCCTGAGAAGATGAAATAACTGACCTGAGGTTATTTGGGTGACAAATGCAGTGCCTCTCCTTAACCACCATGCTATTCTGGAAGGCAGTAATTTCAACTCTTGACTTTCCTTTGGAAGACTTTTTAAAAAATTGTTTTTGGGTTTTAATCAGTGTGTTTCAGTTCTCTTCGCTGAATGACACAGTTTTTCCACGTTAAAGAAACCTAGATCTCAGAATAATTTAATAAGACACAATAGTTTAATCAGTGAAGTTGGCAAAAGAATAGCTCTTAATTATTTGGAGGGAGAGTCTTTTAAGAAAATACAGCTTGAAAAAAGTCTATAAATAATACAATTGATAATATTTAAAGTTGAATATAGAAGTTATGTAAATATAAACACATCTATTTTCAGGATCTTTTGAAGATATTATCCCTGCAAGGAAGCTGAAGAACTTTTATTCGGAGGTAGCAGAGCACGAGGACATTTCCAAGTTGGTCCTCCTCCTTTCTTCCTGTGTGAATTCTCTAAGAAAGGTGGCCCAAGACGCCCTGCAGGACTTTCAGGAGTACAAGACGCTCTGGACAGAGGATCGACATGTGAAAGTGAAGGTGTGTTTCTGCTACCTGTGATACAGTTTGGGGTTGAATTGTTTGTATCTAACTTGTGGGGGAGCACAGAGAAAATATAAGTGGTAATGACAAGAACTCATGAGCAGAGGTCAAGAACCTGTAAATGCCAAGCACCTAACACATTGTATCGTGTGTAATTCACACATTGACACTTTGAAGCAATTGATAATAATGAGGCGCAGATTTCACTTAATTAGCTTCAACGATTGAGGACCAGTTATGTTCCAGATGAATCGAGAAGCCAGGCGTTGAAGGGTGTGTCACATTTACACAGACTCAGCTGTATTTTTGGTTAGAGACTCAAGAAAACTTGAGAATTCTGAATAACCATTCCTGTTCTTTTGTGAAATTCCCTCACCTAGCTTCCTCATCTGGTACTACCAATTCATCCCTTTCCTTACCGATAGCACATACACTTGGAAAAGTATGTAAGCAAATGCGATTTTCTAATTCAACCATTATAAGTGTAAGATTTATACTGTCAAAAAGCTAAAGAAAATATTTCCTCACTACAGGAGTTTTTGGCTAACGACCCCTCTTTGACTGAAATCAGATCAGAAATTCTGCGCTATGCTACTTTGGAACAGGAGATTGATGAATTGAAGCCTATTATTGTTGTAGGAGCACTTGAATTACATACAGGTATTTATAAAATATGTAAAATATCTGTATTTTCACATGAAATGTGACTTTATTTAGAAGGCAGTTATTAAGCTACCTTGGTACAATATTATAAATATTAAATATTTCTGAAACACTAGTATTATTTATAAATAAATGTGTTACACATATAATATGTATGTTATATATTACTGTATATTTTATATATAATATTATACAAAGGTGGCTTAATACACTTAATATTCTGCACAGTTTCTCAATTGGCAGTCCAACAACTGAAAGTACAGGTAAAACTTTCAGGTTACTGTGAGGAGGGGGTTGTGTACCTGAGATAGGAGTCGGTTTGAGGTCTCTTGAGAAGCTAATCCATTTGAGATTAGAGTATCGAAGGATGATGAGACAACCACTTACTGTCTGAAATAAAAAGACCGAGATGACTTTATTGCTTACTACAGAGAGGGAGAGCTATACTGGACAGGCTCAATGTTCCTAGCTAAGCAGACTGCTGGTCTCGTAGAGGATGGCTGGGCAGCATGGAGGCTAAGGATTGTGTGCCTTTAGAGGTTAACATCATCTGTAGAAGGATGCCTGCTCAGGGCACTGTTGTTGATTGGTTGGTACTCAAAGGCGGGCTTATTGAGCATGTTCCATCTGATTGGTTGACATTCAGAAGGGAGGGGCTGACACTGATGGACTTGCAAAAGTATGTGAACTGAGGTGAATTGGCCTATGCGGTGGGTTTAAAACTGATTGTGGTGGCTACTTATTGCCATGGTTATAGAGGTACAAATCAGTCTTCAGTGTGTGAGATTTTATTCTCAGAATGTATTTGAATGACCTAATTTACATCAGCTATCCACTTTATGTAGATTTTCAGATCTATTCTCAGTGTAAATGTGACTCTCAAATTTGACTACCAAGGTTACTTGATCCCTCTTCTGAGGGTGATAATGACAGCGCCCACCTCATGAACTACTTTATATGAGACACTTAGCATAGTACCTGGCAAATAGTTGATGTTCAATAAATACTGACTACTATTATATGTATCAAGAAGGGATTTAATTTAGAGAAGAAGCAGAAATACTTGAGGAGATTATTTAGATAGAAATCAGAAACTGTATATTAGAGGCAATAATTACAAAAACCTTTGAAGCATTTTAGAAACTGTACCGATTATTTTAATGTCCTATTTGTTTCCTCATAGTGGCTAGCACTATGATCTTTAATACAAAAGTCACCTGGAGCAGTTTTGTAGTTGGCCAGGCACTTGGCTTTAGAGAGAGGAAAGAAAATAAAGTGGAATAGATGACAATAGTGTAAAGAAAGGGGAAGGTGGGCTGAACCCCTGCGGCCTGAGAAAAAGAAGAAAAGAGGTCCAGGAGGTATGGACCTCATGAGATAGGATCTCACAGCCTCAGTCAGCAAGCTGGCTGTGTGTCTCTTCTCAGGCTACACTTTCCTCAGCTCCCTAGTCCTCTTAGTTTAACTGTTGGAAGTTGGGAGGAGATCAGTTAGTTTTGGTTTTTGTTTTTTGTTTTTTTTCAAGCTGAGCCATTCTGCCACCTGTTGGCAGCTCAGCAACTGCTCAGCTCAGGCTGGGAATCGAACCGCTGTTGCTCAGAGCTCAAACTCTTGAGCGAGCTCTTAACCAACTGAGCCACTCGGCCGGCCCAAGAGCAGTTAGTTTTTAAGCTTTGCAGAGCTGGGGAGTTTAGGGGTAACAAGAGGAGAGAAAAGAGGAATGGGTAAGGGTTGATAAGGTAGAGTTGACTAGTTAGATCTGTTTTGTTTTCAAGGAACAGAAACCTATTTGAACTATGTTGAGGGAAAAAAATGGTATATCTCAGAATACAAGAAGCAACTGGGCTTTAGGAATGGACCAGAACCAGGGATAGTGTAGGAAGCTGAGGAAATCCTTTCTGTCTGACTCTCATTTCTTCTTCCCCCCGTGCATGACTTTTTCCGCTTCCCAGGCCAGAGGGCACCCCCTTAAGTCTCATGCCAAACTCTCAAGAATGGATTCTGAATAGTATCTAAAAAGTCAAGATCAAGAGAAACAATCACCTAGGGTCAGGTTACACATGTTCTCTAACCATGTGGATGAGGTAGGGAGTGGAATAACAGGAAAACAGGTTTGGCCGTCAAAAAATATATGACACTCCACTGTGCAGGGTAACCTAGAAGAAAATGGGGGGATGAGTGAGGGCTGCTAATAGGATGGCCAGAAACAGAGCAAGGTTCACACTGGAACCTTAAGCTAGACGTAATTTCTGAAATTCTTCTCCATAGACTCTAGTCTCCTCATGCACAGCGTATCATATTCACATGTAGAAGAATTAAGTCTTCAAAATCTAGTAACCTTACAGCACATTTAGTTCAGGTTAACTACTTTTCAAATGCTCAAGAGCCATATGTGGCTAGTGGCTAGTGACTATAAAATGGGACAGTGTGGTTACAGGTACTCAGATCACACATAAAATGAGTCGTTTCAGAGTGTCAGTTGTATTCTATTTTGATCTTTTCTTGTCTTCACCAGGGCCCATGAAATTGGCCTTATCAATTGAGGCTAAGGCATGGAAGATGTTACTCTGCCGATATCTGAATGAAGAATACAAAAAGAAAATGTCAGACATGATAGCATTTATTAATGACTATTTGAAAAAGTTATCTAGACCTATTCGTGATTTAGATGATGTCAGGTTTGCAATGGAAGCCTTGTCTTGTATCCGTGATAACGAAATTCAAATGGACATGACTTTGGGACCAATTGAAGTAAGAAACGATTGCGTTTTTCATTCTTGAAATGCTATTTAAAAAACAAAAAAAAGTAGAAACACTAAGAGTTTGATTCTGTTAACATATTTCTTCGTTTATTTTATGGTACAATCTGCCTATTTCTCCTTTGTGATGTTGGTGTTCTTGAAGGTATTTTGACAAATTTTCAACAGTGAACAGTATACAAAGTATTAATATATTAATAATACTGTACTGGTCCAGACAGAGTTTATTTTTTTTGTTGGCACCATTTGAAGGAAGGGAATGGTTGCACTCTCTCACATCAGTCCCAACATGTTAGGCAACTTCTCCAAATATCTTTGTCTTTAGAAGCCAGTTATAGGCCTCACTCATGACCAGTGGCATACCATGGGCAGCATGGTGGGGACAGTCCCCTTAGGCTGAACAGTAAACTGTTGGAACTTAGATCAGCAGATGTTTTTAGGGAAGAGTACTGTATTCATTTTTCTATTGCTGATATAAAAAATTACCATAAACTTAATGGCTTCAAACAATACAAATTTATTATCTTACAGTTCTAGAGATGAGAAGTCTGAAAATGGGTTTTATGGGGCTAAAATCAAGAATGTCATTATGGCTTCATTCCTTCTGGAGGCTCTAGGGAAGAAGCCATTTCTTGCTCTCTTCAGCTCCTAGAGGCAGAACACAACCCTTGGCTCATGGCCCCCTTCCAGCAATGGCATCACACCCACCCTGCTTTGGTCCAGGCTCCTACCCTCCTGCCTCTCCCTTTCCCTTATATGGACCTTTGTGATTACATTGGGCCAACCTGGTTAACCCAGGATAATCTCCAGGGTAATTAAGTTCTTTCACTTAATCACATCTGCAAAACCTCTTTTGCCATGTAAGGTAACATATTCACAGGTTCTGGAGATTAGGGTATAGACAATACTGTCTACCACCAGTATTTTATGACTAACTTTTAGAATTTTTGGCTCATGGACATAATAAAAATCAGACTCTTAATGCATTTTATTACTGTTTTTTAAAATTCTCTATAGACAATGCACTCCTTTATTGCCTGCAGTACCGGAGGAATTGGCACTCCTGTTGCCTCATTTTGGCACCCAGTGCTCATGATGGAGCACTGCTTTCTTGAACCCATTTAGAGTTTATACTCTTTGGTAGCTAATGAACTTTATACCTTTGAATTTACTACTTCTTTAAATCTTAGTGTTTGGGAATTTGGGAATGCTGACCACCCATTCCTCAAATTCTCATATCATTTTTTTTCCTTGACTGCAGAAGATCAATACTTCAGCATAAATTCTTTTGGTAAAGTCAATTGCCAATCCATTCATTTAATCATTCAAGTTTTCTTTTCCTTCGGGATATCTCCCACATCATCATTTCATTCCTTATATAGCCAATCCATATTTTATTAGAGCATAAGAAAATATTTGGCATGGTGTTGACACAAGATCAAGGAGGTAAGAAAGGCCAAAAATGATTTTAGGGATATTTTCTAGGATAGAGTCTCAATGTGCTCTGCCTACGTCTCCATCAGAATCACCTAGGCACTTACTAAATGCTGATTTCAAGGCTTAGGGTCAATGCCAATGTCAGTGAGAATCTAGAGTTGCTTCTTATACACATTTAATTTTGGAAATAACTCTTCTGGAATATGGTCTCTTCTTTGAAGACATAGGAATATGTTTCTAGAAGGCATCTCAGTCATTTGGCAATTGCTTTCCTTGTGATGTTTCTGAACTCCACCCTCACTCCACAGGAAGCCTATGCTATTTTAAACAGATTTAAAGTTGAAGTAACCAAAGAATCAGAAGCAGTTGATACCTTGAGATGTTCTTTCAACAAATTGCAGCGCAAAGCTGTAAGTACAAACTTACTTCTTATTTTTTAATTTATAAATTCCTATTTAATTCTTATAGTGACTTAAGTCACCATCTCCAGAAAAATACATTTCATACTTTTAAAAAACTTAATATATGTTATTTTAATAACTTTACTGAGACATAATCCACATACCATAAAATGTACCCTTACAAAGTATACAATTTAATGATTTTTTTAAATTGTATTCACAGAGTTACACAAACCACATCACTAACGTTAAAATGTTTCATCATCCCAAAGAAACCCCATACTCATTAGTAATTACTCGGTATTTCCCCCTCTCTATAGCCCCTGGCAACCATTAATCTACTTTCTGTTTCTATGGATTTGCCTTTTCTGAACATATTGTGTAGACAGAATCATAAAACATGTAATGTTGTTGTTTGTGATTGGCTTCTTTCACTTAGCTTAGTGCTTTCAAGGTTTACTTGTCTTGTCAAATGCACCAGTACTTTATTTTCTTAATGGCTAATGATTTTGAACATCTTTTCATGTACTTATTGGCCATTTGTATATCTTCTTTGGAGAAATGTGAATTTCAATCCTTTGCTTGTTTATAAGTTGGGTTATTTGTCTCCCTATTTTTGAGTTGTACGAGTTCTTTATACATTCTAGATAGAAGTCCCTTATCAAAGGATTTGCAAATATTTTCTGTCACTCTGTGGGGGTGTGTTTTCACTTTCTTGTTGGTGTCTCTTGTTTGTTTGTTTGTTTTAAGCTGAGCCATCCTGCCACCTGTTGGCAGCTCAGCGGCTACTCAGCTAGGGACAGGAATCAAACTGTTGTTGCTCAGAGCTCACACTCTTCAGCAAGCTCTTAAACAACTGAGCCACTCGGCCGGCCCTTGTTGGTGTCTCTTGAAGTAAAAATGTTTTTAATTCTGATGAAGTCCAATTTGTCTAATTTTTCTTCTCTTGCTTGTGTTTTTGATATCATATCTAGGAAACCATTGCCTAATCCAGTGTCATGAAGATTTACAACTATGTTTTCTTAAGAGAGTTTATAATTTTAGCCCTAACATTTAGGTCTCTGATACATTTTGAGTGATTGATAGTTTTTGAATATGTTGTGAGATTTGAATCTTAACCTTGCCTGGTGCTAGGGCCTTGAGGAAGTTACTTGGCTTCTCTGTACCTCATTTCTCTTACCTGTAAAATGAGTATATTAGTATTTACCACACAGGGTTGTTGCGAGGATTAAGTGAATTAACACATATAAAGAACCTGGCAGATAGTAAGCATGAATTAAGTGCTAGGTGTTATGATTGAAGGTTTAAGCACAAACTTTGAAGACCATTGTGGAGGGTATTTGCTTTTTTTTTTAATACCCAGAGTAATACCACTTCCTTTTAGGGAATAGCCTTAATCACTGTAACCATGTGAATCTACTAGAAATTGCTAATCGCAGACCTTGGCCAGGCCCCAGAGAAAGCATGTGACCCAGGCTGTGCCTATTGAAGTAACTGCTTCTCAGGCTACAGGGATAGCCTGAGATGAATCAACTGGAAAACTTTCCTGACTACAGTTAGAAAAGATGGCTTTGCTTCTTGGGTCATGAACTAGAATGATTTGAATCTTCTGTTGGTACATTTGGGTTGTTTATTTCTGTGGGGTTTTTTTTGTTTTGTATTGTTTTGTTTTTTTACAAACAACACCGCAGAGACATTTTTGTTCATGTAGGACATCTGTGAGACAACAAACTTTCTGGAATAGAATTGTACTTTTTGTTTAATACATTCACTCTCACATTGAGTGTTCTTTTTTATTGTAGGTTTCTGTACAAGATGACCTTGTTCAAGTGCAGCCAACATTTAAAATAAATCTCCTTGAGGCTGTAGAAGTTTTTCGTGAGGATGTAATGAACTTTGCAGAAGCATATGAGATGGTACTTTAAGTATTTGCATGCTGTTGTATTAAAATGTTCACTAGTATGTTTTTATGAAATGAAAGTGATGAAACCTGAGAAATATACTGTGATTTGTACATTGTATGTAAGAGGCTATATTTACATCTTAACAGCTGTCAAAAAGGGAATAGCTTCTCCTTCAAGTGTGTTTTTATAGAATTAGAAAGAACATTTAACTGTTAAAAGGAGAAACAACTTCAAATATCATGAAGTAGCAAAGGGTCTGGTGTTGCCCTTTCTCAAGGCCAGAATTCTCATAGTTGAAAATGTAAAACAGTTGTCAAAAGGCTCCAAGAAACTATACATGCCCTGATACCATGGTATAATGTAACTGATTTTTTTTCACTAACACTTAGAGAACTAAAAGAGTTACTGAAAATAAATAATAAGTATCATACTTGATCATTCATTCCTACAAGCTATTCCACCAGGTATAATGACTGATTCCACCTCCTTGTTAAACTCAGAAGTTGGATATACAATATTTCCCTAAAATATTCAACTTTCTTTTAGTGGTCACAATGGATCTGGATTCATAAGATATTTAAGCCCTTGATGCTACTTATATAACACTTTCTATTTAAAATTTCTTTTTAGTTTTAAATTTATTGGTGTGACATTGGTTAATAAAATATATAGGTTTCAAGTGTAAAATTCTATAATCCATCATCTATATATTGCATTGTGTGTTCACCACCAAGAGTCAGATCTCCTTCCATCACCACATATTTGACTCCCTTTACCCTTTTCTACCTCCGCTCCTCTCCCCTTATCCTCTGGTAACCACTAAACTATTGTCTGTGTCTGAGTTTTTGCTTGTTTGTTTGTCTTGTTCATTTGTTGCTTTCAGTTTTATATTCCACATATGAATGAAGTCATATGAACTCAACATTTTCTTCTGACTTATTTCTCTTAACATGATAATCTCAAGATCCATTCATGTTGTCATAAATGGCACTATTTCATCTTTTCTATTGGCTGAATAATATTCCATTATGTGTATGTGTGTGTGTGTGTGTGTGTGTGTGTGTGTGTGTGTGTGTGTGTGTGTATGTGTATTTGTCAGTCCTCTATCAAAGGACACTTGGATTGTTTCCATGTCTTGGTCATTGTGAATAATGCTGCAATTAACATATATTTTTATGGATAAATGTTTTCAGAAATTTTTGGTAGATACCAAGTAAAGGGATTGCTTGGTGATATGGTAATTCTATTCTTAACTTTTTGAGGAACCTCCATACTGTTTTCCATAGTGGCTGCACCAATTTATTGTACATTGCCACAAGAAGTGTATGAGGGTTCCTTTTTCTCCACAGCCTCTCCAACACTAGATATTTCCTGACTTGTTGATAATAGCCCCTCTAACCAGTATGAGGTGATATCTCATTGTGGGTTTGATTTGCATTTCCCTAATAGCTAGTAAACTGGAGCATTTTTTCATACATGTATCTGTTGGCCATTTGTATGTCTTCTTGGGAGAAGTGTCCAGGTCCTCTGCCCACTTTTTAATCACATTATATTTTTGCTGTTGAGTTATATGAGTTCTTTATATACTTTGAATATTAGCCCCTTATCAGAGTTGTTATTTACAAATACTTTCTCCCATTCTGTTGGTTGCTTCTTTGTTTTTTTTATGGTTTATTTTGCTGTGCAGAAGATTTTTAGTTTGATATAGTTGTATTCATTTATTTTTGCTTTTACTTCCCTTGGCTTTGAGGTGAAATTTATAAAATCCTCTTTGAACCCAAGGTCTATAAGTTTAGTACTTAATGTTTTCTTCTATGCAATTTATTGTTTCAGGTCTTACATTTAGGTATTTGATCCATTTTGAGTTAATTTTGATAGATGGCAGTCTAGTTTCATTCTTTTGCATGAGGCTTTCCAATTTTCCCAGCACCATTTATTGAAGAGGCTTTCTTTTCTCCATTGTATGTTTTTGGCTCCTTTGTCAAAAATTATCTGGCCATATATATGTGGGTTTATTTTTGGGTTTTCAATTCTGTTCCATTGGTCTGTGTGTCTGTTTTTCTGCCGATACCATGCTATTTTGGTTATTGTTGCTTTGTAGTATAATTTGAAGTCAGGGAGTGTGATACCTCTGGACTTGTTCTTTTTTCTCAGGCTTGCTTTGGCTATTCAGAGTCTTTAATGATTCCATACAAATTTGATGGCTTTTTGTTCTATTTCTTTAAAAAATGCCATTGAGATTTTGATGGGGGTTGCATTAAATCTGTATATTGCTTTGAGTAATATGGCCATTTTAACTGTGCTGATTCTTCCAATCCGTGAACATGGAATATCTTTCCATTTCTTTGTGTCTTCTTCAATTTCTTTTAATAATGTCTTGTTCTTTTGAGTGTATAGGTCCTTCACATCCTTTGTTAAGTTTCTTCCTAGGTATTTTATTCTTTTTTTTGTAATTACAAAAGGAATTGCTTTTTCATTTCTTTTTCTGAAATGTCATTGTTAGTATATAGGAACACAGTGGATTTTTGTACATTGATTTTGTATCCTGCAACTTTACTGTATTTGTTTATTGTTTCTAATAGTTTGCTTTTATGTTTGTTTGTTTGGTGGCATCTTTATGGTTTTCTATATGTAGAATCATTACAAAATCATTGCGTGTCATCTGGAAACAGTGGCGATTTGACTTATTCATTCCCAATTTGGATGCCTTTTATTTCTTTCTCTTGCCTGATTGGTCTGGCTAGGACTTCAATACTCTGTTGAATAACAGTGGTGAGAGGGGGCATTGTTGTTCTGTTCCTGATCTTAGAGGAAAAGCTTTGAGTTTTTCACCATTAAGTGTATTAACTGAGGGTTTGTCACATATGGCTTTTATTGTGTTGAGGTACCTTCCTTCTAGACCCATTTTATTAAGTTTTTAATCATAAATGGATGTTGTATCTCATCAAATGATTTTTCTGCATCTATTGATATGATCACATGATTTTTATCCTTTATTTTGTTTATGTGATGTATCACATTGATTGGTTTGTGTATGTTGAAACATCCTTGCTCTCCTGGAATGAACCCCACTTGATCGTGATGTATAATATTTTTACTGTATTGTGGTATTTAATTTGCTAGTGTTTTGTTTAGGATTTTTTGCATCTGTATTCATCAGAGATATTGGTCTATAGTTTTCTTTGTGTGTGTGTGTTATCCTTACCAGATTTTGGTATCAGAGTAATGTTGGCCTCATAAAATGAGTTAGGAAGTATAGCCTCCTTTTCAGTTTTTGGAAAAGCTTGAGAAGGACAAATATTAAATAATCTTTGAATGTTTGGTAGAATTCACTAGTGAAGCCATCTGGTCCTAGACTTTTGATTTTTAGGAGGTTTTTGATGATTGCTTCAATTTCCTTACAGTTGCCCAGTCTATTTAGATTTTCCAGTTCTTCATGATTCAGTCTAGGAAGGTTATATATTTCCAAGGACTTGTCCATTTCTTCGAGGTTATTGAATTTACTGGCATATAGTCTTTTATAGTATTCTTGTATGATTCTTTGTATTTCTGTGGTATCTGTCATACCTTGTCCTCTTTCATTTCAGATTTTGTTTATTTGCATCTTTTCTCTTTGTTTCTTAATGAGTCCAGTCAGATATTTGTCAATTTTATTCATCTTTTCAAAGAACCAGCTCTTTGTTGCATTAATTTTTTCTATTGTCTTTTGTTGTCTGTTTCATTTAATTCTGCTCTAATTTTTATTATTTCCTTCCTTCTGCTGACTTTGGGTTTCATTTGTTCTTTTTCTAGTCCTTTAAGATGTAATGTTAGGTTGTTTATTTGGGATTTTTCTTGTTTCTCGAGATAGGCCTGTAAGGGTATAAATTTGCCTCTTACTACTTTTGCCATATCCCAATAATTTTGATACGATGTATTTCATTCTCATTTGTTTCTATTATCTTTTGATTTTTTCCCCTTTTATTTCTTCTTTGACCCAGTCATTCTTTATTAGCATGTTGTTTAATCTCCACATATTCTTTTTTACATGTATAAAACTAACCTCTTTTAGTTGGATTAGTCAACATCATTTGATTGCCCAATCATTCTTTTATACTGAGAATCTGGTCTATTATTTTGGCCATCAATAATATTCATTGTACAGACTATCTGGTGTCTTTTTTGCAAATATTTTCTGGTTCATGCTACCAGAGACTGCCTATTTCTTCTTCCAACTATTCAACCTATGTGCATCTCTATTTCCTTATAGGGTTGAAGACTTAGTGAAAAGAGCCTGTCCTCAGAATAGAATAGATAACTCTATATATCAGTTATGCTAATGAACAACCACAGCATCATCATTTATAATCATAAATGAAATGAAGCAGAGTTCTGGTGGTACCAACTTCATACAGGATGATATTTTGTCACATTTTTTAGTAGCTATGTCAAGGTCTTTTAAAAAATGAATGGAAGTTGGAGTGATGTAAATGTTCAAAAATTGATTGTGGTCGTGGTTACACAACTCTATTACACACAAAGAAAACATTTAATTGTATATTTTAAATGAGGGGTTGTATAATAAGTAAATATCTCAAAAAACTTTCACAAAAATAAAGGAAAACTAAATATATAGGACAAAATAGACCACTTAAATGAAAAATAATGTTTATTAATTTATTTAAAAGGAAATAATAGATAAACCTCCCAAATTGATAAATATATACTTGTATGATTAGGAATTAAAATGGACATTATATTATTCATTACAGGAAGGACCTATGGTTCCAAATATACCACCCGAAGAAGCTAGCAACAGGCTACAGATATTTCAGGTAAAACTACATTTTTTGTTGTTGTTACATTGACAGTGTGTTCTTTTTTTTAAAAGTGATTTTAGGGAAATCATTATGTGTTTTACCTTATAAAGGAAATGTTAATGTTTAAATTGCATACTGATTTTAATTCTAATCTGCTAAATAATGTAATTGACTCCTTTTCTTGTGCCCAGCTATGACCTTTTTCACAGAATATCTCTCTGTATTTTTAGAGAATAAGACTTTGATTTTGAACTTAAGTGTATTCCTTATTCTACTTCCAAGCATCTCATTTGTATGTAAAGTGATAAAAAATGAGAGAATAATAAAATATATCAAATAGGATTTTAAATATTGACCAGTGGTTTTCCTGTCTTCTCTCTGTATTCAGTAATTTTCTTTCTTCTGTATCTATCACTTTCAACTTCCCTGTTCCTTTGATCCTCCATCAGACCATACAGTACTCATTGGATCAGGCCAACCAGTCATCATCTTTTTCTACACTCAGATCACTGAGCACATCTAGAGAAAAATCACCTACTCATTTGGATGAACGTTTTATAGATTCATGGATTCCCATGTAAGCGAGCTCCTCAGGAGTATCAGGCATTTCAGTGTTTGTTCCTGATGTCTCTCCCGTTTCCTGCAGTGGCTGCCTGATGCATTCGTTTTCTCCTTATGACCTTTATTCCACCTGCATTCTTAGTCATTAAAAAGTTATGTATCAGTTGCCTACTCTGTGACTTGGTTAATAGAAAGATGATTAAGAAACGATTCTTACCTCTAAGCTGCTAAAACCTGATAGGGAGACAGAGAAATAGAGAGAGAATCATAACATTGTGTGGTGAGGTCTGTGATCTACGAGTAGTTATGAGAGCTCGTGTTATGGAAACAGATGTGAGGAGCTCCCAGCCCAGACTGGGGCTGGTGGGTTAGACAGAGAAGGCTTCCTGGAAGAAGAGGCATCCAAGCTGCATCTTGAAGGACTCGTTAGAGTAAGGGGAAAACAAGTTAGGCAGCATTTGTGGTTTGTACAAAGGCTCAAAAATGAAGAGATAAGCTGGAAGCTTTAGGGAGATGTAAGGAGTGTAACTTGGGTGCAGTGGGCAAAGAACACAGTGATGAGGGACGGGGCAGCAGAGTGGGCAGCAGTCACCAATGGGAGGGTCTTGCATGTTGTAATAAGGAGCTCACAGCCTGCCCTGAGGGCTGGAGGGCTCTAAGCAGGAAATGATATGGTCAGATTTGGATTTTTAAAACTGTTGTGCTTTTAAAAGATTTCTCTGGCATTGCTGTGGTGAATGGTTTGGAGGGAGGATGGTCAGTCTGATGGCAGTTTCAGTATACAAACAAGAAATTGTAAAGATTGATACTAAGCAGGTGGCACTTGGCATGAAGAAAACTGGATGGATCATGAGTTCAGTAGAGACCGACTTGATAGCCTTGGAGCCTGGGTTGAGGGGAACAGATCAAGCTTTCTAACTTGGGCAAATAGATGAAGGTAGAGCTGTTTACTGAAGTATAAACATGGGAGAAGGAGTAGTTTGGGTTTTTTTTTTAACTGATGACCTTGTCTCCAAACTGATAGAGGAGATTTAGGGTCTGTGATATAAACTCAGAGACATGTGCCCCCTGCTTGTCCCTGGGGGCCCTTTACTTTGTCCCTTGTCTCTTCTTAGGTGGATCCTTTTCTTTTTTTTTTTTAACCTCCTCCTCTTTATTAAATCTTCCCAATCAGCATTTAAAAACGGTTTGTCTTTCCTTCTTAAAGTACAGTAAAAATAATCAACATCTCTGTTCTGTAGCCCCCTCTAGACCTCACTTTTTCTTCACTCGGCCCTAATTCCTGCATTTATGCTCAGCCCGCTCCTGTGGTCAGCCCGCCAGGATTAACAAGATTTTAAATGTCGTTCTTTTAATGCATGCTAACTTTGAATTTTTCATTTCTCCTTTCCTAATGTTCACATAGTCCCATGGACTCTTCATTCAGTAAGTATTCAATATATTGAGTAATCACTATACTAGCCACCAAAGAATATAAAAAGCGCAAAATATGGCCCTTGCCCTCTAGGAATTAAGAGTTCATTGGAGTTCCTCCAGTGTCTTCATTCCTTCCTGATTTGGCTCCTCTAAAATAAGCTAATGTGTCACTATCTGAGCACTGTGAGGCCTGATGCAATATACATTATTTTTTAGGACTGAGAGTTTAGGATCCTTCTTTGTTACACCATTTAAGTAGAGTACACATATCTTGTCACAGGTGGATTATTTCTATTGGCTTTTGTGCTTTCAACACTGTTAATCGTTAGCATTCTAACTATAGCAGATTCAGATTCCAGTTCAAAAGACATGTGCATTGTTAACTTCGCTGATTTAAATTGTTGGACTCTATATCTCAACTGGTGTTAAAATGGAATCCTTCATTTTATAGATGTTTGCTTGTAGAGAAAACAGGATTGGGTGGATTATACTAAAGCTTCACTCATTGAACCCTGTAGGAGAGAGGACCAGTCTAAATTAGTGATAAAGCCTGAATTACAGTTTTTTTAAAATGCAGTTTTATTACATTCAGATGTATTTATGGGAACTTGAAATATAGGTCTTTTGGGGGATCATTTAATTTATTAAAGAAATAATTTGATATAAAATGGATACTTTTAGAATATTTGAAAGTTAGCTCTACTAAGTGCTTAGCTTTTCCTCTGATAGCCTGTTGTAAGTATAAACTTGCTTCACAAATCCTTGTTTCATAGATAGCATTAAATAAACCTCAATGGAGCTTTTTTCCCAATTATAATACATTCTGCTTTAATGGGGTCTGAATGAATTAATTTTACTACAATTCAAAAACCTTTTATAGGCCAATTTTGATGACCTGTGGAGGAAATTTGTTACATATTCATCTGATGAACAACTGTTTGGGTTGCCTGTGACTGACTATGAGGTTTTACACAAAGTCAGGTAAGTTTGGAGATTGTGTGTTACATGCAAATAATGAGATACTGTTCATTAGAAGAATCATATTATAATGAAATAAATTAAATTTAATTATAATTATGCAGAGATGGGCCTCCCTTGGAACACTCCTAACTATTCCCCCCTATTCCTGGCTATTCCTGACCCATTGTATACATGGTCTCCATATACAAAGGAAACGTTATAGAGTAGAAAATACATTGCAAAGATTCTGGGCATTCATGACCTATATTAGCCTGTGCTTTATTATTGTTTTTCCACTATTTTTGAATAATGTCAGTGATTGTGTAGAAGCACTGCAATTCTGGATGACTTCTGTTTTTTTAAAGGAATAGTCACCCTCAGCTCTCAATCCCTTCTTACTGCGTTTATGCTGTATTCTTCCCCATTGGGTAGACATAGAATTCATTGAGAATGAAGGGCAAGGAACTTAATTGATTTTAAACAGTGGATCTAAGATTTAAACAACTATATTTTAATATAATTTTCCTCAGAGGCAAATATTGAAACAGTGGTATTAGCTTATTAGGATCTTGACTTTAGAAAAGAACTTTATGTTGACTTCTTTTGAAGTCACAGCATGAAAATGTCATGGCAAAATAGACATGAAGTTGTCTGAAGATAAATTAATGCTTCAGTCATTTAAGGTAGACGGTTTGTATTCTTTTTCTAAAGTAGTCATTCACCAAGCTTAACTCAGTGATCAATTTTGTTAGAATTGCAAATGTCTGATTCTTGCCCCCGACTTACTGAATCAGAATCTCTGGCATTGGGTCCTAGGAGATCTACATTTTGATAAACACTCTAGTTAATTCTTTTGCATACTCAGTCTGAGACTCAATTTTTTATTTTAACTCTCAGTATTCTAGGAAAAATAATCATATTTACCATTTGGACAAAGGGACCCTTTTTATGTTTATATTTTTCAGTAATTTATGAATAGTTTACAGAAACAATTTTATTAGAAAATAATAATGTAAGCTGTGAAAACACAAACTTTTACTCCATACTTTTTTATTTGAAGATATAGTACATATACAAAATGAAGACCAACTTTTGAATGTAACCAACTGCTAATCAGCTGACATGTATAAACCTTGGACCATCCCTATCCTATAAACACTGATTCCAGATTTAGAATCCATTTCCAATAGCTTCTAGCTTACCATTACTTCTGATTTTTCTGGAAATGCATTATTAAAACTCAAGACTGTTGAAACTTAGACACTCATAATTTTTTGAGGGAAGGGTCACCATCTTCTTTGCACTATAAATACAAAAATCTTTACTTTTAGGCTTGAATGATCAATTCAGTGAATTTTTGTATTTCCATTTCATGCATTTCCTTTGAATATACATCTGTCTTCAACATTTGCCTACTGAAGGGATGTATCAAATAAAATTTACATGAACATCATAAATAATGAAAGAACACTGTCACTTATCTTTTTTACAAAATTGTATGATCTAGGTTCTTGTTGCAAAATCTTGCATGGTGAAGCCCTTGCCTCTATTAAAATATAGTGTTCACTCATAAATTAATGAGTTTAATAAAATACATCTAGATTGTCATCTAAAGACTCATAGTCTGAGGTTTCATTTACACAATCAGTTTTGCTATCAAAATTAGAGTCTAGAGTGCTGCTTTCTGTCTTTTATGTTTAATATTTAGAAGCACCTTCCTTTGTCAATTTCCTTTTCTTTGCTGTTTTCGGTAGAAAATGAAGAATTTGAGTTCTTAACTGTATTAATTGAAAGCTAAATAGAAATCAAAAGTTTACAAAAATGGTATCTACAGAGTTCATCTTGAAAGATGATGCAATACTTCAGACAGCACAATAAGAAACATGAAGGATAGTGCAATAGTGATTTTTTCATCTTTAGAGATTTCATCATTTTTTTCTAATTATTTTTGTATTTTTAGCACATTTGGGAATAATCAGTGATTAATAATGAAATAATCCCTAGGATAATGAATTAGCAAAATGAAACAAGAAATGGAAAAACAAGATAATTAGGATTATAGAATGTGTCTTAAATTTATAAAAGGGTCCAGTGTACCTATGGTAATTGCAAAATAAAATCAGTTTTACTCCATTAAAAACATAAGCAAATTTTAGTTTTGGTCTCTGCATTGTCTATAATAAAATAGTTGTTACTATCAATCCTTACAAATAGTTAGGACTACATAAGAAATAAATTCAAAAACTAAAATTTGGTTCATTGGACCCTCATTGTATGCTAACAGTTGAGGAATTCCTGAGAAAATCCACCACCTCTGTTGAGTGTTCAATTTTTGGTGTTTTGTACAATGAACTTTTCCTTTACTTAAACCTGGAATCTCTCTTTTATTCTTGCTTTGGATAAAACTCCATTTGGGCATAGGAGGGAAAGTTTTTGGTAGGAAAATGATGTTTAATGTCATACTTACAGGAGATGCTCTTATAAAAATCTAGTTTGCATTTGAAAGAAAAAAAAATCAAATAAAACCTTAGCCTTGGCTTTGATTTTGTTATCAAGTTTTGTTCACATTGTTTACAATGATTTAGGTATGGTAATAATAATCAAACCACTTGTTAATGTCAAGTCATAGTATGATTTCAAATATTTGAGAGCTGTAAACTTGACCTAGTTTATGGAGATTTAATAAAGTCTTTGGAAACTGATGCTGGTATGAATGTTGGTGTCTATAAGACATTATACACATCAAGTATGAAATATTTGATTGGATGAATTCTGCTTATCCAATAATGGATTTTATTTTTAAAATATGCATTATGTAATGACTTAATTATTTGGTTTCCCAGAAAGGAACTCAACTTGCTGCAGAAGCTGTATGGACTATATCATACTGTAATGTGCAATATTAGTGGTTATTATGAAATACTTTGGGGAGACGTAGACATTGAAAAAATTAATGCAGAACTGCAGGAATTTCAAAACAGGTGAGTTTCAATTGAATTAAGCTTTGCCTTTTTATAGTGCTTATTTTCTTAGGATCCTATAGGTATTTCACAAATGAATTTATCCTCTGCTATATTGCTATAAATGCATAACACCTTGTTCAACAAAATGTATAGATGAAATCATTTTTTTTCTTTTTTCTGAAAGATGTCGTAAACTTCCAAGAGGACTTAAAAATTGGCAAGCTTTTTTGGATCTGAAAAAAAGAATTGATGATTTCAGTGAGTCATGTCCTCTACTAGAAATGATGACCAATAAGGCAATGAAGCAGAGACACTGGGATCGAATCTCGGAGTTAACTGGAACCCCATTTGATGTGGAATCTGATTCTTTTTGTCTCAGAAATATTATGGAAGCGCCACTCCTTAAAAATAAGGATGACATTGAGGTACATAAAAGTATAAGATGGTTCATTAAAGAACATCTCCTTTCCTTTTCTGAAAATATACAAAATTATACAGACATTTTATTCAAGGGTGTATTAATTGCCTGATATAATGCACCCTCAAACTTTGGAATGATTCTGAACATGCTTTGGTTTTGCAAAATAATGCTGTAATTTAAGGCGATAATAAGATTATTTGAAATATGTTAGTTTTGGAGCTCCTCAGTCTATCCTCCTTATGCATTAACTACACTTCCATTTAAAAAAAATGTTTATTTTTGTATGGTGTCCATGGTGAATTCCTCAGAATATTTTCCAACTTTCTAATTCCAACTTTTCCCTATTAGCCTATTAGCTACTTAAGATTATTATATTTTTCTTTTCCAAGATTTTTAATCAGTCCTTTTTGTTTGCATGGTATCTCTTTTTTACTGAGATATAATTGACATACAGTATTATATTAGTTTTAGGTGTACAGTATAATGACTCAATTTATGTATATATTGTGAAACAGTCACCACAATATGTCTAGTTAACATCCATCATCATGGTACATTTTTTTCCCGTGATGAGGACTTTTGAGATCTATTCTCTTAGTGACTTTCAAATATACAACACAGCATTCTTAACTGTAGTCACCATACTGTCACATTACATCCCCAGGACTTATTTATTTTATAACTGGAAGTTCATACCTTTTGATCCTCTTCACCCATTTTACCCACTGTACACTACTTCCCCCACCTCTGTTCTCTGTATCTGCCTGACTTTTTTCATTAGCATAATATACTCAAGGTCCATCCATGTTGTCACAAATGGCAGGACCTCTCTCCTTTCTATGGATGAATGATGTTATATTGTGTATATAGAGCATAATTTCTTTATCCGTTTACCCATCGATGGACACTTAGGTTGTTCCCATGTCTTGGCTATTGTAAATAATACTGCAATATAGGGTGCAAATGTCTTTTCAAGTTAGTGTTTTCATTTTTTTGTGTGTGATAAATACCCAGAAGTGAAATTACTGGATCAATGGTAGTTCTATTTTTAATTTTTTGAGGAACCGCCATAGTGGCAGCACCAGTTTACATTCCCATCAACAGTGCACCAGGGTTCCCTCATCTCCACATCCTCAGCAACACTTGTTATTTCTTGTATTTGTGATGATGGCCATTCTAACAGGTGTGAGGCCATACATAGCTCATGGTGGTTTCGATTTGCATTTCTATGATGACTAGGGATGTTGAGCACTTTTTCATGTACCTGTTGGCTATGTGTATATCTTCTTTGGAAAAAATGTCTATTCAGATCCTCTGACCATTTTTTTTAATCAGATTGTTTGTGTTTTTGATACTGAGTTATGAGTTGTTTATATAGTTTGTATATTACATCTTTATCAGGTTTATGATTTGCAGATATTTTCTCCCATTCAGTAGGTTGCCTTTTCATTTTGTTGATGGTTTACTTTGCTCCGCGGAAACTTTTTAGTTTGATGTAATTCCACTTGTTTATTTTTACTTTGGTTGCCTTGGCTTTTGGTATCAAAATTATTGCCAAAAACTAACTGCCAAGATCAATGTCAAGGAGCTTACCACCTATGTTGTGTCCTAGGAATTTTATGGCTTCAGAGCTTATATCCAAGTCTTTAATCCATTTTGAGTTCATATTTGTTTATGGTGTAAAGTCATGGTCCAATTTCATTCTTTTGCATGTGGCTCTTCAGTATTCCCAACATGACTTATTGAAGAAATTGTCCTTTCTCTGTAGTGTATTCCTGGCTCCTATGTCATAAATTTATTGACATATATGCATAGGTTTATTTCTGGGCTCTCTATTCTGTTCCATTGATCTATGTGTCTGTTTCAATTCCAATACCATACTGTTTTGATTTGTAAAATATATTGATATAAAACTTTGTAATATGGTTTGAAATAGAGAAGCATGATGCCTCCAGTTTTGATATTTTTTCTCAAGATTGCTTTTTAGTATTGTAAAATTGCTTTTAGTATACAAATGTTAGTATTGTTTGTTCTATTTCTGTGAAAAATGACATTCGAATTTTGATAGAGATTGCATTGAATCTGTAGATTTTTTTGTAGTTTGGACATTTTAACAATATTAATTCTCCTAATCCATAGGCATGAACTACCTTTCTATTTCTTTGTGTCTTCTTCAGTTTCTGTTATCAATGTCTTATCATTTTTTTTATTGTACAGGTCTTTCACCTCCTTGTTAATTTAATGTCTTTTTGATGCAATTGTAAATGACATTGTTTTCTTAATTTCTTTTTCTGGTAGTTCATTATTAGTGTACAGAAATTCAACTGATTTTTGTGTATTGATGTTGTATTCTGAAATTTTACTGAATTCATTGATTAGTTCCAACAGTTTTTTGGTGGAGTCTTTAGGATTTTCTATATATAAGATGATGTCATCTGTCAACAGAGACAGTTTTACTTTTTCCTTTCCAATTTGGATGCCTTTATTTCTTTGTTGTCTAATTGCTCTAGCTAGGACTTCCAATACTATGTTGGAAAAAAAATGTTATCTTTGTTTTGTTTCTGATGTTATAGGAAGAGCTTTTAGCTTTTCCCTGTTGAGTATGATGTTAGCTGTGGTTTTGACATATAAGGCCTTTATTATGTTGAGGTACATTCCCTCTAAACCCACATTGTTGAGAGGTTTTATTACAAGTGGATTTTGAATTTTGTCAAATGCTTTTTCTGCATCTGTTGAGATGATCATATGATTTTTATCCTTTATTATGTTAATGTGGTATATTACATTGATTTGTGGATATTAAAACATCCTTGGATCCTTGGAGTAAATACCATTTGATCATGGTGTATGATTCTTTTCATGCATTGTTGAATTTGGTTTGCTAATATTTTGCTGAGGATTTTGCATCTATGTTCATCAGGGATATTAGCCTGTAATTTTCTTTTGTGGTGTTCTTGTCTGGTTTTTGTATCAGGATAATGCTGGGCTCATAAAATGAGATTGGAAGTGTTCCCTCCTCTTCTATTTTGTGGAAGAGTTTGAGACACTTGGTATTAATTCTTCTTTAAATGTTTGGTTAAATTCACCAGTGAAGATATCTGGTCCTGGGTTTTTGTTTGTTGGGAGATTTTTGATACTTATTTGTCCTGTTCAGATGTTCTCTTCATAATTCAGTCCTTGTAAGTGATGTTTCCAGAAACATATTAATTTCTTCTAGGTTGTCCAATTCATGTGTGTATAATTGTTCTTAGTAGTCTCATATAACCTTTTGTATTTTTGTGGTCTCTGTTGTAATGTCTCCTCTTTCATTTCTGATTTTATATATTTCAGTTATCTCTTTTTCTCTTGGTGATTCCAGCTAAACGTTTGTCTATTTTGTTTAGCTTTTCAAATACCAGCTCCTAGTTTCCTTGATCTTTCCTATTGTCTTTTTAGTATCTGTCTCATTTATTTCCACTCTGATCTGTGTTGTTTTCTTTCGACTACTAACTTTGGGCTTTGTTTGTTCTTCTTTTTCAAAATATAAAGTTAGGTGGTTAATTTGAGATCTCACTTGTTTCTTAATGTAAGCAATTTTCATTATGAACTTCCCTCTTAGAACTGTGTTTTCTGCATCCCATAACTTTTGGTATATTGTATTTCCATTTTAATTTGTTTTAAGGTATTTATTTTTCTTTTGATTTCTTCTTTGACCCATTGGTTGTTCAGTAGAGTGTTGTTTAATCTCTACATCCAAGTATTTGTGAGTTTTTCTGTTTTGGTTTTTTTTCTTATAATTGATTTCTAGTTTCATACCATTGTGGTTAGAAAAGATGCTTGACATGATTTCAGTCATTTTAAATTTATTATAACTTGTTTTGTGGCCTAACATGTGATCTATTCTGGAGAATGTTTCATGTGCACTGAGAAGTAGGTGTATATTCTGTTGCATTTATTTATTTAATTATTTATAATTGGTATAGAATATTATATTAGTTATATTAGTTTCAGGTGTACAGCATAGTGATTTGACATTTTTATATGTTACAATGTGATTGCTTGACTAATTCTAGTAATCAGCTGTGACCGTACAAACCTGTCACAATATTATTGACTATATTCCCCTTCACCTTTTTCACCCATCCCTCCATCCCCCTCCCCTCTGGCACCCACCCCTTTAGTCTCCGTTTCTATGAGTCTGTTTTGTTTTGTGTGCCTATTTGTTTTGTTTTTTTAGATTCCACAAATACCATACAGTATATTTCTTTCTCTGTCTGACTTATTTCACTTAACATAATACCCTCTAGGTCCATCCATGTTGCTGTAAATGGAAAGATTTCATTCTTTTTTATTGTCATATAATATTCTAGTGTGTGTGTGTGTGTGTTTATATGTGTGTGTGTGTAAATATATATATATATATATATATATATATATATATATATATATATATATATACATATATGACATCTTCTTTATCCATTCATTTATCAGTGGACACCTGGGTTGCTTCCATATCTTGGCTATTGTAAATAATGCTGCAGTGAACATAGGGGTGTATACATCTTTTCAAATGAATGTTTTTGTTTTCTTCAGATGAATGCCCAGAGTCGAATTTCTGGGTCATATGGTAAACCAGTTTTTAGTGTTTGAGCACTCTCCATACTGTTTTGCATAGTGGCTGCACCATTTTGCAATCCCACCATCAGTGCACAAGGGCTCCTTTTCTCCACATTTTCGCCAACATTTTATTTGTTGCATTTTTGATAATAACCATTCTGACTGGTGTGAGGTGGTATCTAATTGTGGTTTTTACTCTGTTGCTTTTAGATGGAATGCTCTGTATATGTCTCTTAAGTCCATCTGATCTAACGTGTTGTTTAAGGCCTATGTTTCCCTTTTGATTTTCTGTCTGGATGGTGTATCCATTGATGAAAGTGGGATATTAAAGTTCCCTACTATTATTGTATTGCTGTATATTTCTTCATTTAGGTCCGTTAATATTTGCTTTATATATTTGGGTGCTTCTATGTTGGGTGCATAGATATTTTACAAATGTTATATTCTGTTGTTGGTTCAACCCCTTTATCACTATATAATTACTTTTTTTTTTTTACTACAGTTAATTGTGTCTGATGTAAGTATAATTACCCCAGCTTTCATTCAGTTTCCATTTGCATGGAATATCTGTTTCTTTTCCTTCACTTTTAGTCTGTGTATGTTTTACATCTGAAGTGAGTCTCTTATAGGCAGCTTATATATGGGTCTTGCTTTTTATCCATTCACCAGTGTATACTTTCTGTCTTTTGATTGGAGAATTTAGTCCATTTACATTACAGTAATTATTGATAGCTATGTACTTATTGTCATTTTGTTCATTGTTTTCTAGCTGTTTTGTAATTTATTTGTTTCTTCTCTTGCTCTCTTTCTTTGTTATTTGATGATTTTCTGTAGTGGTATGCTTACATTGCTTTCTCTTTATCTTGTGTATGTCTACTATGAGTTTTTGCTTTGTGGTTACCATGAGACTTACATATAACAACTTATATTTATTACAGTCTGTTTTAAATTGATAGCACCCAAAGTTCAGATGCATTGTAAAGTTCTACATGTTAATCCCCCACCATGTTTTGTTTTTGATGTCACAATTTACATCTTTTTATCTTGTGTATCCATTAACAAATTATTGTAGGTATATTTTTGTTAGTTTGTCTTTTAACCTTGATGCTAGTTTTATAAATAATTAACCCATAACCTTTACAACATTAGATTCTTCTGAATTTTAGTATATATTTACCATTACCAGTGAGACTGCACTTTCATATATTTTTCTGTTACTAATTAATGCCCTTTCATTTCAGCTTAAAGAAGTCGCATTAATATTTCTTGTAAGTTCTGTATAGTAATGAGCTCATGAACAGAAGTCCAGATGGCAGCTGGAGGCAGCCTTCTGCCACAGTGGAGGGATCTAGACCTTGGCCCTGATGCTCCCTCTCATAGTGGGCCTCTTTTTAGTCTCTTCTGTCCCATAGGAATCAAGGGCTAGGCTTCCACAGACCAGAGCCATCAGGCCTGGGTTTCAGCTGCACCCAGTGGTTTGCATATCTTTCCTACTTCTGGTTCATGGAGATGTTTATCTTGTTTTTAAGCCTGGCTGTGCTTGTTTTTCACTTTCTCGTTTTGTATTTTCACCATTATTCTGTTTTTGGAAGCAAGGAACTGCACCATGTGACCAGAAATTCATATATATGGTTTTGTGTTTTCTTCCCCCCCACCCCGACTCTTTTTAACAACATATGTACACTAGAAGCTTTGTTTTCAAAGACTTTTTTGTCCTACTTGTGAATGTCATTGAAATACTATTGAAGGAAACAAAGAGTTAAAAACTTTGGTTACCATCTAATTCTTTTAAGTGGTTTTTACACTTCAGAATATAGTGATTCATAGGCTGTACTTTGAAAACTTCATTTTACAATTCCAAGGAATTCTAGGATTCAGTTATTAACTACTGATACATCAAAACAGACTTTCAGTGCCATCTCCCCGACATACATCCTGTTGCTCTGCTCCACATGCCCTGCTATTAGTCAAGCTGGATTTCTGCTGTTACTGGATCTATTGCCTTGAAGGAAGGGCTTCCCTGCCCTATAGTATGTCTCCTCCCTTCCTATAACCCCCTGTTGGAATCCCACTTATTCTCAGATACTCCTTCCTCACTGTAGGCAGAAGTCATTTCTCCCTCCGGCATTTATAACAGTTCATACCACTCATAACATTTATCACACACTAATTTGTATTATATTTATTTCTGGGAATGCCTTGTACCCTTAAATTCCTTTCCAGCTCCGGGATTCTGTGATTCTAATATGAAAGTAAATGGAAGCATGATGGGGAAAATACGTTACTTTTATTTTTCTCTTGTGAGATTTTCATATCAAGGATTCTCAGATAAACAGAAAAACCCATAGGATAAAAATAGAATTGACTTTTAAGTAAATGAGATGTTCATATTAGAGCCAGAACAGGCAGGAATATAGCAATGTTTCTATGTTATTTTAAAGAGTTCAAAAGACTTACATATGTTCTGATTTGTTTCTCATAGTAAGCTGCCGAGATAGAGCAGCTGCGCGTATCTCCATTTTGGCCAAAAAACTCCAATGAAAATATAATCAAGGAAAATGATGATTTAAGTTCCATTATCTCATATATGTAGTACAGTAAAATAATTAGTAGTCAGAGTCTCAGAAAGTTCTAGTTTGGACTTGCAACACAATGATCTTGGGCCTCGGTTTTCTTGGCCATAAAAATGACTAAATGACTTTTAGGTCCAAGCTCAAAAATTCTATGATTTTTACAGTACACTTAATTTGTAATGGAAAATATGACATTTTCTCTGATTTCTCCCTGAAGGATATTTGCATATCCGCCATTAAGGAGAAGGATATTGAAGCCAAGCTGACTCTGGTCATTGAGAACTGTACCAACCAGTACCTGAGTTTTGCAGCATTTAAAGGAAAGGGAGAGCTCCTGCTGAAAGGAAGTGAATCAGGGGAAATTATCACCTTGATGGAGGACAGTTTAATGATCTTACGTTCCTTACTGAGCAACAGGTACATTTATAATTTGTGGGGGAAAGTTTCAATTTAGTATTTAGGGTTATAAAATACGAGGTGAAAGCCCAGTTTTACAGTTGTAGCATAACATGAGATTCTAATCAAAAGTGCTAACTCTTGTCTGTCCCTCTTTGAACTACCTTTTCCCCCTAAAAACCATGGGCTCCATCTCTCTTTCATGGTACTCATCTCCCTTACTACTTTTCTCTGGTGGTCCCCATAATTATTCTCCCCCAAACTGGCAGCTTCTCTCCTGAACACCTTGACTCCCCACTGAGATGCCCTCTTCATTTTATCATCTCTCTCCCTCGTTCCTCTGATGTGTCATCACTGCTCAAGTGTTCACCCAATGGCCCAGGAAAAGCATGCTGGCACCACATGAAAGGAATATACCATTAGGGGCTTGGCAATGACCAGTTTTCACTTTTCATGGTGAAAAGTCTCTCTATCTATGCTGGATCCTCTATGGCCTGAATGAGGTAACTTGTCCATCACTGGTCTACTGAACCAGCTCAAAAGTGACTGTGATCTCATGCAGCTTTAGGAAGTTCCAGTGGGACTCAGATTAAGTATGCGGTCAAGGTGTCGGTCTGGCCATTAGCAACCTCTAATCCCCTGGCTGCCTATGCAGTAATTTTCAACTGTCCTTCACTCTGACACACCTAAGGAATATGTCACAACCCCATCATTAACAGAGGTCAGTGTTCAGGGTGATGGGAATTCTAATGCCCCTGCTGTAGGTTGGGATCGCAGGTGAATAGAGGCATCCTGCGTGACTTCTGGCCCCAGAGGCAGTCTTAGATAATGCACTAATCCAGAAGCTCCTAGTCCAGGGAGTTCTGGGTTGAACTTACTGGGGTTATGGACCTGGGGTGCACCCTCTGTTTGCAGGGAATCTGAATAATCCTGACAAAGGTGACCGTAGGAGGGCTACTACTACCCCAGAGTTCATTGCAGATTTTCCCATTCTGATTTCCTAGATGCTGACCTCTTGAAGTAAGACTGTAGATGAACCTGCACAGTGTCTATTGGCCAAGGGATTCAGGATTTGAAGGCTTTCCTTATTTCATATGTACTTAACTTGCATGTAACCTGATTAGTATAGTACCTATTCATAGTACTAGTAAACTCAACGTTGAGGCTCTGCTAAGAAAGAATGTAAGGAGAGCTAAGAAGTCACAATATTCTGGGAAATTGTCCTCCTAGAGAACTTTGCAGCACTAGAAAGCCTTTTTCAGAACTAGCCACAGAATGATCTTACAGTGGGCAGTGCCTGTTGGATCTCTGGGGCTACCTGGATGTGACTTCAGAAAGAAAATGTATATCTCCATGGGTGAGACTTGGCTCTAGATAATGCCTGGATTGTGACACTTTCCTGGGGGATCCCCGATTTCACTGGGGCTCCATGGATATTCCCATCTGTCTTGACAGGTTCCACTACGCAAAGCTGCGCAATGCAGGTACCTAACCAAAGGACAGAAACTGGCTATGCTGGATTTTATTTCAGATCTCCCCTTTTCATGTTGGGAACTTATACATCATCCAAGATAATGGTTTTTATGGTTGTTGTTTTGTTTTGTTTTGTTTCTTATGGGCAGGACCATTTTTGGCCCAAATATCTAAATGCTTCAACTCCCTTGAAATGCCCATTCATATAATTTTAGTTTGCATTTATTGATTTTGAAGATGTTTTTGGCATATTGACTGTCTTTTAGCTGTAGACCAATGGCCAGATGGCAGTTTTCATTGAGCGTTGAGAAAAATGCCTCTCACTGCCTGAACAACTCACCTACCTCCTGGGACAATTATTCTATAATTTTCTTTATACATCTATGTATAACAAGGCTTCCAGGGAAGTTATGGGTTGTACTCAGTCATCAGACTATACCCAGAAGAATCCATTCTATATGTGAGCACCATCAAGTCATCCTGTCCTGGATCAAGAAAAGTTTTAAGCTCCTAGTCAACGTGTGCCACTCACTAGGACATGCCAGCACACCACATCAAACTTCTTGCCATTGCCACAAACTGAACCCAGGTTCTTAATCTAACTGAAGGTGATTAGGTCTTTACCAAGGAGCTTCCCATCACTTCTTCCATGGTATCCAATCTACGTTTGTCTTTCTTTGTTGTGCCCAGCTTTCTGGACATCTTGTATTCTTACCAACCCTTTCGGTAGCCCTGCTGGTCAGAAAACAGGAATCATGCTGTTTGGGGTAGCCATCTTAGATCTCTAGCACTGCAGGATCTAGGTGCAGTGCCTGGTGGAATTAGCAATCTGTGGGAAGGAAGAACATACCTGCAAGCAGGCATCAGACCTCAAGCCTGACCCTGGCTTATGGTAATAGTTCCACAGACCAGTAACAAATAGTGTCCTATATATTATTCTCACAGGTGTTCCCCACTTGTATTTATTTCACACAAGTCTTGGAAAACCATTTTGGTTTTGGTTTTTCCTTTACTCCCAGAAGCAACCAGCACAGTTCCTTTACTGGACCTCTGTGCTGTAAGACTTGGACTATTTTCCTATTCTGTGACTAACACATGGGGCAACAAGTAAAATCACTATAAGAGTTTTACTCATAAAAAAGCAAAAAAAGTGTCATTAGCTATAAGAAATTTATTAGGGACTGCCTTTTAGAAAAAAATGTTCATTCACAAAAGAATGTTTCTCCTATAATTTATGTTGTTGGGCCATACTATTTTCTGAATCTTCATTGAAATGTAATATTTTCCCATTCTTACTTTTTAGATATAATGCTCCATTCAAAAAAAATATACAAAATTGGGTGCATAAGTTGTCCACTTCCTCAGATATAATTGAAGAGTGGCTGGTAGTCCAGAACCTTTGGGTTTATCTTGAAGCTGTCTTTGTAGGTGGAGATATTGCCAAACAGCTGCCTCAGGTAAATGTGGTTTTTGTAACTACTGCTACAGTAATTTGGTGTGTGTTTTTTATATGTCTCTGTAAAAATCTTCACAAAGACGTATGGTCACATCTTGGTTATTTACACCAGGGGTTGGCAAACTATGGTTCACTTGCCTGTATTTGTAAGTAAAGTTTTATTGGAACACAGACATATCCATTTGTTTATGTTCTGTCTGAAGGCTTTGGCATTACATCAGAAGCGTTGAGTAGTTATAACAGAGACCATATGGCCTGCAAAGCCTAAAATATTTACTATCTGGTCCTTTACAAAAAAAGGAAAATTAAGTGACCTTTGATTACATTAGCAGAAAGAAGAAAATCACATATTTTCAAACATTGAAAATCTCCAGGTTGTTTGAGGATGTGAGGTATATTCAAGTATGGTACTGTTCAATTATATTCATTCATCTCTTCCAAGAGCTAACCTTGTAGTATCCCACTGAGAGAAGAATTAAAATTAATATGTGTTCTGTAAGTGCAATTAACTATTAGTAAACTGACTAATAGTAAATTAGAAATACATTGTGAGGCAAGGAAAGTTCACCTTAGAAGCATGTAACAAAATCATTAAACAGCCCTATTGGGACCTATTAAATAAATGCCAATAACTCACTAATAACTTTATTCAGCGAAGATAATATAAAATTACCTCCTATAAAATTAAACCTGCTTTTTCTGAATTTCCACACCTACAAACAGGATCTATACAGATTAAAAATCAAGGATTAAAGAGTTTTGAAAATGACTCATTTCCCTTAGCAACACATTTTAAATACACAAATCTGTTTTTTTTTAATCAGCAAGTTGCATTAAAAATACACTTAAAAGTTTGAAAATAGGCAAGATTATGCCAATTTCTAGAAGCATTTTTGCAATTGAATGCAAAGCTCACTATCATCCATAGTAAACAGAAATTTTTCATTTGCAAAAATGTAAATGTAGCTTTGTTTAGGGTTTTTATTGTTTTTTTCCCCCCTGGGATATTATTAAGCTGTAATTATTGCAAGGATCCTGAGATCAAATTATTTTCATGCTTCCTTAGTTTTCTCATCAAACCAAAACACCCAGAGAGCTGAAAGAGTAGATTTGAGGTTGAAGTTGATAGCTTTGCAAATTAATCATGTGGCACTTTGAAAAACATTAAATGTAAGCAAACAAGCGACAAACCCTATTGTGATAAAGCAGTATTTCAATAAGCAGTTTTATGACTTTGGGTTTTTGTTCAGATGATAACAAAAAAATTTCCCTTTAAATTATGTAGTCTGAGACTAGTAGGGGCTGGTTTGAAGACTCCAGGAAATTCTAAAGTGAGTACTTTGCTTTATTCAAGTATCCAAGTGCTAATTTTTACTGAATATGGATTTGTTTGTAGGAAGCAAAACGTTTCCGGAATATCGACAAGTCATGGATTAAAATAATGCAGCGAGCTCACGAGAATCCCAATGTGATTAGTTGCTGTGTTGGGGATGAAACTATGGGGATACTTTTACCTCACTTACATGAACAGTTGGAAATATGTCAGAAGTCACTTACAGGGTAAGAGTTTAATTTTTAAATTACTTATCATTATTTGTGCTGATGTTTTATCCCAAACAAGTTAATAGTATCATTAACGGCATTTCTAGTTTGGTAGTGGTGGTCGAAGTGGTGATAGGAATTTAACATTGCACATAAATTTAATATTTCTGAAAAAAAAAGACACCTTCAACTTAGGGGTGGGCAAATGAAAGCATTGAATTAGTTTTGTAGGGCTGCTGTAACAAATTACCACAAACTGAGTGTCTTAAAATAACAGAAATTTATTTTCTCACAGTTCTGGAGGCTGGAGGTCTGAAAGCAGATGTTAGCACCTTCTGAAGGCTCTGAGGGAGAATCTTTCCTGTTTTCTCCCAGTGTCTGGTGGTCCTAGGAGTTCTTGGCTTGTGGCTACATAACTCCAATCTCTGTCTCTGAATTCACATGTCCTTTTCTTCCTGTGTGTTGCTTATAAGAACATTTATTGGATTTAGGGCTTATTGGACTAACCCAGGACGATCTCTTCTTGAGATCCTTTACTTTGCTACATCTGCAAAGACCCTTTTCCCAAATAAGATCACATACACAGTTTCCAGGAGACAGGACAGGACCTATCTTTTGAGAGGCTTCCGTTCAGCCCACTGCAGGCATGGAGTAGAGAACAATTAACCAGACGAATTCATGAATCCTTTTCTTAAAAAGCAGTTCATTCTCAATTTCTATTTGAAATAAGGTGAACATGTATCCTGGTTTGTCTAAGTTCATGCCTCTGTTCTAGTTTAATTGTTAGTTGTCCCCCCTTTCATTTTCAAAATGTGCTGGTTTGGCAAGAAATTATGTGTTCACCCTGGATTTAAGCCTGGCATTCAAAATACTCTTAGAAAGCTCACAGGCGAGCTCTTGATGGGTGGGGCAGGCTTACTCTGAACCCCTTTCTTGTATCCACTCGTTTTCCCAAGTGACATCCATGGTGTAGCACTGACTTTGAGTTTAACCAAATGATACATTTTAGAGGCAAATGGGAAATGATGATAGGTGTTTGCTTGTATCTTATTGAAGATGTTAGTGATTATGTCTTGGCTAAAAAGAAATAAAATACAATAAATAATTCAGAAGAAATCATTTGGTAACATGACTTTGTTTAAAGGTATTTGGAGAAGAAGCGATTACTATTTCCAAGATTCTTCTTTGTATCCGATCCGGTTCTCCTGGAAATCCTTGGACAAGCCAGCGATTCCCATACCATACAGGTATGAGCTAAACATCTATTACCTAAATATTTTTTTCCCCACAGCATACATAATCAATAATAAAGATGAGGCTAACATCTTAAAAGTGGAGGCAGGAAAGAAGGGTATTAAAAATTACGTTGATTATAAAATGTCCTTTTTTCTGTGTATTTGCTGCCCACCAACCTGAGGCAAGGTCATCAACTATGCTCCTCACCAGCCAGATGACCTTGGCCAGCTTCTTAATTTTCCTGCACCTCAGTTTCCCCATCTGTAAAATCAGGATATTAATGGTTCCCACCTCATAGGATTGTCATAAGGGTTATGTGAGATAGTGCATTGAAAGGTATCTGGTACCAGTTTGTGCTCAATAACTACAATTCATTATAAGTATTGTAGTCTAAATAGTCTTAGATCAGATAGAGCTTGTGGTTTGGATTTGTCCTTGCTCCTGTCTACAATGCTTCTCTAATGCTTTTAGCCATTTCCAAGGGCAACACTTCCAGGAGGAAGAGAAAAATTATAGAAAGCTGGGAGTGGGAGGCATTAAAACACCATCCTAGGCCGTTTCTGGTTTGGGAATCTGGAATACAATTACTAATACCTTCCTTGCTGGTTTCCAGAAAGTTGTGGGGATGAGAAAAGCGAAGAGAGAAAAGCTGTGTAAGGCAAAGATGGAGCCAAGACAGAGGCAGGACTGAGCTGGGAGGGACAACATGGTTCAGTCTCTGTCTGGAGGAGGCGACAGTCATTAATTAGTCCAATCTCCATAGTCTAAGAGGGGCATTGAAGGGCTCGGAGAAGACATTCTGTAGGGCTGGATTTCAGAAAGTGGGCCTCCAAGTGAGTCAAGGTCAAAGCAGAGTCTTTTTTTCTTTTTCTTTTTTTTTTTTTTTTGAGACAATAAAGTAAATTCTTAATCTTTTACAAAGATAAAATACATTAAGACTTTTTAAAACACCTCAGTGGCTTTTGTGTTTAGCCTCATGTATGATGTTTTTGCTGTCTTGTGCTTCTTACAGCCCCATCTCCCAGCAGTATCTGACAACATAAATGAGGTGACATTTCATGCAAAAGACTACGATCGTATCCTGGCTGTCATATCAAGAGAAGGAGAAAAAATTATTGTAATTTAACTTGGTTGCACTTTTGTTACTAGGATTTCTTTAAAAACTTAAGTTGAGGAGAATGCAATTCTCTTATTAAAAAAAGTGGGGGAGGTGGGTTGATCTTAGGTTCTAGTTCTGTAGCTCTTGCTGTGACACACTAGTTCATTTAACTTCTCTAAGATTCATTTTCTCACGTATAAATGAAAGAAAGCTTTAGACCAGATGATATTTATAGTTCCTTTCACCTACAGTATTAGTTGATTTTGCTCATGTTTTAAATATTTTGTGTAAAGTGCAAAACTATTTGCTTAGCATGGCATAAGTGTGATTTATCAAGTTAAGTGTGTGACATCTGTAAAAACACCAAATTATTATCAATTTGTAATATATTTTTTAGTTGGATAGTCCTGTTATGGCCAAAGGTCCTGTAGAGATTTGGCTTCTGGAGCTGTTAAAAATGCAGATGTCATCATTACATAACATAATTAGATCTGCCTTCTATCAAATCAGTGATTCGGGATTTCAGCTCTTGCCTTTCCTCAATCACTTTCCAGCACAGGTGAGAACATACAATGTTTAAACAATGGTTATAAGAAATGGAAATAAGGGGGAAGGATACTCAGGAGGCAGTCAGCCTGATGGTGTGGAGGCTGTTGTAGCTTTGAACTAGTTAGGGAGGCCCACCCCCCCCTCAGCTCCCACCCACCTGCTTATCCACGTACACCATTCGAGGCCCACCTGTCCCATCCCCCAGGATAATTTCCACTGTTCTCCCATCATGAAGGCTATATATGCACTGAGACTAAACCACTTATGGAAAATTTCCTCTTATATATAAAAACACAGGTGGATATAGATACAAATATAGATATGGATATATATATATATATATATGGAATGAGCATATCTTTTCCTCAAATGAAATCCATCTTGCCTTTTGTTTATTTTCCCTTCAATTTAAAGATGAAAAATTGGCATCATCTGTTAAAGGAGGGCTTCTCATGCAACTCACTTTTTAATGAGAGAAGATCTTGAAGAGGCTGAGGTTGGAGCAGGTGTTCTCTTGAACAGCTCTCTCAAGTCCGATGGCTCTTCGAAGTGCACTGTAAGGTGCCAAGTATTATTAAAACCAGATATAAAAAATGAAGAGCCGATAGTCTCATTACATTTTCAGCCAAGATAAAGGAAAAGTAATGACTTGTAATCTGGGTCACAGATAGTGTGGGATAGAAGACAAGAGATAGCCGAGGAAAATGTAGGCAGTTTTTGCCCAAACTATGTTTCTTCTCTAACTGCTCCTACCAAAGCACACTCCAAATCCCAAATGACTTACTGCACACACAATAGACAGAGCTGAAATGATATGAAATTCATTATTCAAATGACACAAGTACAGATATAGAAACAACCTTTATTAGGGAGAATACTTTAATATTGTTATTTTTCAAAATATTGTATAATATCCCTGTCAAGCTTTAATATTTTTATTAGGATTATTACGTTTGTGATAAATCTTTATAAAATACTTTATTGGGTGAGCTGAGAAAATCGCTCCTTAGACTAAATCAACATATTTTCCCTCTCCCAGGCCAGCGCGATCCCCCTGTGTATTCTGAAGGAGAGCTTCAGTCTAGTTTAGGCAGAGGAGTCAGCATTAAAGGGGGAAAAGCTGAAAAGCAAGTTCAAAGCAATGAAGTTGAACAGGATATAGCAGGAAAGTTGACTAGCTTTCAGGATTTTCTTCAGTGTGCATACATACACATAATACACAAATAAAGAGGTAAAATTTAAAACAATTTTAGATAAAAATCTTAACACTGTGGGCAAATTTAAGTTACTTGGAAAAATTGCTTTAAAGAGTAACTATATAGCAAAGGTAGTGTATGTTGAAAATATATATATATATATATATATATAGTGAATATGTAGTCATTACTCTTGAAAGCAACTTTTCCAAATAACTGAAATTTGTCCACTACAATGTTAATTTAAGTTTTTATGTAAAATTGTTTAAAATTTCATCTCTGCTTTCTTCTAAACACATTTTTAAGATTATGAACACAATGGATCCTTGTTGAAAAAATTGGGGAAAATTTGAAAAATATGAAAGTGAAAATAAACATTTCCCATATTTCTATCACTTGGAAATGATAACTGTAAATATTTTAGTGTATTCCCTTCCAGTATTTTTTAACATGCTTATTAACAGGCATCAAATAATATGAGAATGAGCATTCTTATTTTGTTCTTTAATGAGGCATTCTCCAGTTTCACCATTAAGCCTCCTGCCTTCTGACACAAGTAAAAAACATAATTTAAATCTTTCTTGACTCAGGTTAGTCATTTTAAAGATTAATTTTTAGAATATACCCAAATCAATCTGCAGTGATTTTTCAGGGTCTGTGGGTCTATTTGTCTTTAAATCAAGCAGCATTACACTGCTATTTCTGTATTGTGTCTCTTGGCTTTTCCTGTCTTGTGCTGTCTTCTGCCGGCAGGACCAAGAGAAGCTCGCTATAGGGAGCTTCCTGACACCAGCTATGTCCGCTGTATCCCATTGCTTACCTTAGCCAGGTGCTTTCATTTACCTTCACACCCCTCCAGGACTGGCAACTGCTCTAGCAGGAAAAACATTGAAGTTCCTCAAAGGGCAGGGATTAGGAAAGGGTTTGATTCCTGCCTTACCCACATCGAATGCCATGTCCAGTAGTATCCACATGCCACTCACACTGCTTTCAGTCCTCTGCCAAGTGTGGGGTTTCTTTTTGGTCCAAATGATTTTGGATCTGCTCCTTTACTCTGTAGATGAAAAAAAGCTCCCAAAGGAGTGAGGAGGTGAGGGTGGGGCGTATTCTGATTGCTTTTATTCCCTTTCCTGGGCAGAAATTGTAGGTAAGGTGACATTCACTCATAATTATCTATGCCTTCATCAGGAGACAAAGGGTAAGCTCTCCTTCTCACTTTCTGTGTTTCTCTCCTTTAGACTGATATATAGACAGAGAAGTAGATATAGATAAAGATATGGATATTAGAGAGAGTGGAGATCAAGCAAGGAGATAGGCAGCATATCTTTTTGAAAAGTTGTGAAGAAATGTTTGAAAAATTACTTTTGGGAATGGAGAAATGCATGTCCATTTTTTAGTTTAACATGAGTAACATCCTGTTTGTCTTCTTATGAATAAGTAACCACCAAATTTTATTGCAGGATCTGTTTTAAATATTTGGCTTTTTTGTCTGCTGAATTTGTAGGTTGGGCTCCTGGGAATTCAGATGTTGTGGACACATGATTCAGAAGAGGCTTTAAATAATGCAAAAGATGACAGGAAAATCATGAAAGCGACCAACCAGAAATTTTTGGATATTCTAAATACTCTAATTAGTCAGACAACACATGACCTAAGCAAATTTGAAAGAGTGAAATTTGAAACTCTAATTACCATCCATGTGCATCAGAGAGATATTTTTGATGATTTGGTAATGTATCTTTTTTTTTCTTAATTTATAGTAATTTAGTGTACTAGTTAATAATTTAGTGTTACTGATAATGAACAATTAAGTATTATATATATTATCTAACTTACATGAACCTTTCATCCACCTGGTCCTTTTTCACAACTGTCTTCATATACATCATGTCTACAAATATCTATATTTGGTGATTTAAACAACCATATATGTATATTCGCATTTGGCATTCTGAAAGTCTAGAACCAACTGATGTGATGTGAATTAACTAATTGTCCCATTAAACCAAATGACAGGGACATGATATAATTTAGGTGAGATTGGTCATGAGTTAATGATGGGCTGATTAATGATGGGGAGAGAAGCCCAGATCAAGTAAAATCAAGCTTCAGAGAACTCAACTCTCATGGCTATTTGTGCAACTGATAGTGTACAGCAGGGCATCCATGGGCTTGATTTGGGCAAGGTTCTGTAGGGTGGGCGTAAGAGGAGTAGTATTTGAATTCCCTTTGGAAACAGAACTCTGTAACTAACCTGTGGCCTTGAGCAAGATAAAGTTCTCAAAGTATTGTGTGCCAACCAGTTGCACTGAGATCTCCTGGGAGCTTGTTAGAAAAACAGAATCTACAGCTTCCTCGCCACACTACCCCTCACTCCCATCTACTGAATCAGAATCTGCATTTCAGCGTGATTCCCAGGTGATTAATACGCGTATTTAAGAAACACGATGTAGGAACTTTCTCGGGATCTCTGTATCATCAGAAGGCTGCGAACTTAGACCATGTGTCTTTGACCTTCTACAGAGTTGCTTTCACTGAATTGCAATTGTTTTTATTCTTTGGCTTTCACTGTAGTCCACCTCAAGAAACTCCTGTGGAATCCATCACTCTGTCTGCTAAGAGCATACCGTTGAGGCTGTTGTCGACACATCTTTCACTAACTCTTAAAGCTGAAGTCCCATGGAAGAAATTTCTTTTAAATTTAAGTGCTGAGCAAAGTTTTACTTTACAAACAGAATGGATTAAAAAAAAAACACCCAAAACCCTATGCACAATTAAAACCACAAAACTGTTTTCTTTTGGTCTTATTCACCATTGAGCTCATGGTCAGTTTGCATTCCGACAAAAATGAGATTTCATAGCCAGCATATTCGCACTTTGTTTTTCCATGTATAATGCTTAGAACAGCCTGTTATACAGTACGAACTCAGTAAGTATTAGCTGCTCTTTCTTCATCCTCTTTCATCTCCTTCTCACCATCTTAACAGATTGTTGAATGTAGCCAGCTGACTGCATCTCCATGGCTGTGGGGCCTGTGTTAGAGTAGAGTCCTTGGGAGTGGTTTATGTTACCTGAAAGGAGCTCATTAAGGTCATGAACACAAACTGTCCTTCAGGAGGGAAGCCAGAATTCTTAACTGGAGGGGAAGCAAGGTCATAAACTATGAAACAACAACAGCAAACAAGATTGTGAATAGCATGGAGACTTGATTAGATGGCGATGTAAACATTGTACCGTTGTCAGAGGTCCTTTTATTAGTGTCTGTTGAATGACCTGGAACTGGGCCGCTGGGTTTAAAAGCAGTGAAGGTGACCATTTGCTACTTTCCTATATTGATTTCCCCAAGTGGGCAGGACTAGGGTTTCTCCAAGTTTGCCAATGGAGTCATGAAGCACCCCAGGATGTGGTTGTGGTGGGATGTTGTCCCTCAATGTGCTTACCTGGTTTGTATCTCTTGCATCATGGTGGTGGGAGCCCAGTACTGCTTGCCTCAGAGGTATACGCTGATGACCAGCAGGTTGATTGGTTTGCCGTAGTGCTGATGTAGGAAGGCATGTGTGCATTTCTGACCATGCATCTCCCTGTTTCATCCCTTCAGGCTTCCCATTTGCCATGAGAACCCCTTTCCCATGCCTTGCGAAGCCCCAACTCTTACGCTTTCTCCAGCGTCCCGGATGCCTCAGCTTGTAGTGCACTTCTCTCAGTTTCTCGCACATGCCAGCCAGATCTCAGCCTTGGCCTACAGCATTTTGCCCTCTCAACCTTCGTTGTATTTCCCTGGCTAATTCCTACTGTTTACCCAGGTGTTAATTTACATTTCTTTTTTTGAGTACCCCTCTCAAATGCCCTATGGTAGATTAGGTCCTCTTGCTCCATGTTTTCATGAACCCTGAATTTCTTTTCATACTTTATTGTTTTTTTTTGTTTGTTTGTTTGTTTGTTTGTTTTTCATACTTTATTGTTATTACTTGTTTATCTGTTTGTCTTTTGTCCTTTTCCGACAGCTCCAGAGGGCAGGAACTATGTCTGTCTTTGTTTCCCTAGCACAGTGTGAGGCCCAAGGAGGGACTCAGTAAATACATGTTAAATGAATGAGAATCAGTTCATGAGTGGTTGAATAAAAACTGCCTATATGCTTGTGTTTTATGCTATTGCAATTCAGTATGTAATCTCTTTGTATTTCATGTTCTTTAGGTAAAAATGCATATCAAATCAGTTACTGATTTTGAATGGCTAAAACAGAGTAGATTTTATTTTAAAGAATATTTGGATCAAACGGTGGTGTCTATTACAGATGTTGATTTTATTTATCAAAATGAATTTCTGGGATGCACTGATCGTCTTGTGATCACTCCATTAACAGATAGGTAGGAAACTCAGTTTTTGTTATTCCATTTTGTAATGAAATAATGCACTTAAATTTTTTTTTTAATTGCATTTGAAATATTAACAAAGCTTATTGCTGTTGTGTTAGGTCTATGCTAGCTCCTGAAAGTCAGTTGTTACTTAAACACATGCACATTAAACTTTTATGGAGTAAAAAAAAAAAAAAAAAGTAAAGAATAAAAGCAAGCTTGAATTTTGACTATGAGTAATTTAGTCATAAATTTTAGATTTGCAAGATGGAAAAAAATATCTCTAGAACCATAAAGGAAGTCATTAGAATTGCAGAGAAGGAAGGGGCCCTGGGAATTGTCTTAGTATCCTGGTTTTTCAGATGTGGAAATTTGAGACCTAAAGTGAAGTTTCTTGACTAGGTCTGGATAGTCAGTTAATGGCAGATCCCCTTATGATTTTTTCCAGTATATGACATTAGGCAACAGCTGGGTCTTTTTCATGTTTACATATCCCACAGCACCCAGTGCAATATGCTATGCATAGAAGACAATCAATCTTTATAGGGTTGACTTAAATTGGGTCAGAGAACAATTAATTCTGCCATTACTTTAAATAGGGCTGCCTCCAGGTAAAATTGTAACAGTCAGATTTCGTCTTCAGCTTCCTCTTGATTCAGCCATGCCCAGTGCCTTTGCAGCATAAACCTGTCAGTGTGTTTTCTCTTCCACTGATATTTACATATAAAGCTTCATGTCCAACAAAGCTTTTCTAAGTTTTACTTGGATCTGAAACAAATATAACTGTAGCTGGATCATAGATACAATGAGGTTCATTACATTATTTTTAGCATATATCTGGATGAATGAAACACTATTTGCAATGTTGTGGCAGAGTTGGCTTGTGCTGGCTTGTGAGAGCCAACTACATGCATCTCGTCTCCATTTTGTGATGTCACATTGGTAGCTTGTGATCGGCCATAGTGGGAGCATTTATACCACAGAAATCAGCAAACATGAAAATCGATTTTTTTTTCCCCCCTGGAGAGCCAATTGTTAAACATCTGCCAGGACACTACTGCTTATTTGGTTCTCTGACTTAGGATTTATCCTGACCACAATGGAAAGAAGGCCTGAAGGCTTTAAGTCAGGGTTTTGGAATTTAAAGTTTGAACCAAGAAATGTTTGTAACCACTATATACTTCTAATGGATGTCAAGTACTCTGGCCTTGTGTGGGTGCCTGTCTGTTTTATGTGAACTGCTCCAATTCTAGAATAAACAGGCCCATTCCAATCACATTGGACTTTTTTGCTTGCGCATTACTGTAACGTATGTTATCTCATATTCACCATACTTTATCTGAATAACATTTGCAGGTGCTATATCACCTTGGCACAGGCTTTGGGGATGAACATGGGAGGTGCTCCAGCAGGACCTGCGGGCACTGGCAAAACAGAAACCACAAAAGACATGGGAAGATGTTTGGGAAAATATGTGGTCGTGTTTAACTGCTCAGATCAAATGGATTTCAGAGGGCTAGGAAGGATCTTTAAAGGCAAGTGTCAAACACTGTGAAGTTATTTTTGGTGAATTTATTTTTATTGCACTCTGATACTATTTTCTGGTATAAATCTAAAGTGATATTTTTCCACATAACCAAAATTAGTATGAGTTGGTGTGTATGATATTGTCACTTTTTCTTGGTCAAAAATGGCTGGATAGCATCAATTTTATATGGTTCGATACTACTGTTGGCATTATAGTCCATGAGTTAAATGTGTATTGGGTTATGAAAATGGAATCAATTTATTATGAATTTTTTTATGTCTGAATCAATTTATTATTGTCTGAAACAATGGTGGCGGAGATAAGATCCAAGACAACAAACCGATGACACACGTGGCTTCCCTTTCTACATTCAATCCCACTGAACTGAAAGAGTTTTTTTAAAGCAACACTGGAAAACAAGAAGGAGGGCTCTCAGCAGATGGGAAAAGTTGAGAATATCCTGAAAGATAGGTAGGAGGTGGTTTCAGATGGACAAAGAAAAAGATTAGAGAACATTTCTGTCTTAAAACTCAGTCCTTGGTGGTCTTCTCTTTTCTATCTACGTGGATTCTCTTGGTGATCTCATGTAGATCTAAACTTTAAATACTATCTATATGATCAAATTTATACTCATATATCTAGTTTGGACTTATTGAAATTCCAGATTCATATATACAACTGACATCTACTATTTGACATCTCCATTTAAATATCTCATAGGTCCAAGCTCTTGGTCTCCCCTCCCATGTCTGCTCCATTCTCAGCCTTCCCCATCACACTGAATAGCCACTCCACTCTTCCAGATGCTCAAACAAAAATCTTTGACTTATCCTTTACTCTGTCTTTCTCTCATACTCACATCCAAACTGTCAGTAAATGCTGTTAGCTCCACCTTCAGACTACATCCCAAATCTGATCACCTCTGATCCCACTGCTGTCATCCTGGTTCAAGCCAATCATCATCCCTCACATGTACTATTCCAACGAGCCTCCTAATTGGCCTTCCTGGGTTTACCCTCGTCCCCTCCATTCTAGCCTCAAAACAGCACCCCAGCAATCCTACATGTGGGCCAGAACATGACACTGTTCTGCTGAAAGCTGTCTAGTGGCTTCGCTCAGAGTAAAAGCTGAAATCCTCGCAAGGTCCTATATTGTCTTACATAACCACACCTGCCCCTCGTCTGCCCGCCTGTACTGTTCTGACCTGACCTCATCTCCTAATACTCTCCCCCCACTCTCCCCACTATACCTATATCGACCTCTATAATGCTTCTCAAAGACTCGGATCACTTTCCCTCCTCAGACCCCTGACTCTTACCATTCCTTCGATTCTTCTCCTGGATACTCATCCACATGGATCCCTTGATAAAGGATGTCCACAACAAATATCACACTTGAAAATCTGAAAGCATTCTCTTTGAGATGAAGTATAAGACAAGGATTCCCATTATTGCTTCATCTGCATCAGACCCGACTTAATGCAGTAAAGAACAACAGTAGCAACAACAAAAATATGAAGATTGGAAAAAAAGAAATACAAAATTCCATTATTTACAAATGTTATGGTAGACTGTAAAGAAAATTTTTTTAAATCTATAGAAAATTAGAATTTAGCAAGTTTCCTAGAATATGAAATCAAGTAAAATTTGTTTCGATAAACCACAAAGAACGGTTAGAAAGTGAAAATATTGGAAAGATATCATTTTTGAGAGTGTGATTTGGCACAGGGATTGATAAACAGACCAGTGGAATATAATAGAGAATGCAGAAATAGGTCAAGGACACTTGACATTTGGCAAAGGTGATACTGTAAATCAGTGATGAAGAGATAGACTTTACAATAAATTGTCCTGGAACAACAGATGATTAATATAACAAGGGAAACTGGATCCCAACATAGTATATGAAAATTGAATGCCTAAACCATATATAAAAATGAATTCTGAAAATTAAATGCCTAAATATGGTAGGCAAAACTATATGGTTTTTAGAAGGTAATAAAGGAAAATATTTTTGTTTTCACAGTAGAAAGGGATTTTTAATACAAAAAAAATCACAAACCATAAAGATTGATACATTGATACATCTGTTCATGAATGGATACCAAAAAGAGAAAGCTCATGCCAGAAATTTGAAAAAGGCATTTCCAACATATATTGCCTACAAAGGATAGGTATAAATATGTGAATAATGCCTAGAATCAATGAGGAAAAGATAACCCAATAGAAAAATGAGAAAAAGTCTTGAACAGGCATTGCACAAATGAAGAAAATCAGATGACCAGCAATCAAAGAATTGCATATTCTAACCATTTTGTAGATACCAGGTTAACAAAAATGTAAGTGTGACCTTTTTGCCCATGGGCAAAGTGTAGAGCAACAGAAACAATCACTCACTACTGGTGGGAGTAGCATACATGTACATTCACAGCTGTCCCACCTCCTGGTATATATTCAGATAAACTGCACTTACGCACAGGGGACCTGTGTGTAAATGTTCACAGCAGTGTTGCTTATGACAGCAAACACTGCAAACAGCTCGAAGTTTTCTAGGATGGACTGATTACATAAATTGTGAACATATAATTTGTATATCACCTATAAAGGAAAGAAAATGTATATGAAATTCTGTAAGGCAATGCGATATAGCAATAAAAATGAGTCACTACAACACGGTGCACTGACAGTCTCACAATTACAATTTAGAGGGAAAAAACCAAGTCTCGTAAAATTCATATAGTGCGATTAAATTTATGTAAAATTCAAAATTAGGTAAAACAAAAAAATACAGATTATTTAGCCATGTATATCTAAATAGTAAAAAAAGAAAAGGAAAGCAAGAGACTGATTATCACAACGCTCAGACTAGCAGTTCAGACTTCCCTCTGGGAGGGAAGAGAGGGGAAGAAGTACACCGGGGCTTCCTTCTATTACATGTCATGCGTTCATTCATCTAGCTCTTCCTTTAAATCTTAACGATATGAAAATGTCCCTATAGTAGATGTCATGAGATTGCACACCCAGCTCTTACCTTTCATTACCTGACTGTTGGTAATATTTTATACACACACACACACACACACACACACACAGTGTGATCACAAAATATGGTGAATGTTTAAATTAAAAAAATTTATTACAGTAAAAGACACATTGCCACTAACCCCCCTCAAAATACTCCCCCTCGCTTTGAACACACTTATCCCATCGTTCTTGCCACTTTCTGAAGCAGTTCTGGAAGTCCTCTTTTATGAGTGTCTTTATTTGCGCTGCCGTGGCTGCCTCGATGTCCTGAATCATTTTGACTTTGGGAAAGAGCCAGAAGTCGCACGGTGCCAGATCCAGTGAATATGTTGGATGAGGACACACCATAATGTTTTTATTTGACAGAAATTGCAGTATACCAGAAGCGATGTAAGACACAGAGCGTTGTCATGCTAAAGGATGAAGTAAAGACACTCATGAAAGAGGACTTCCAGAACTGCTTCAGAAAGTGGCAAGAATGATGGGATAAGCGTGTTTGAAGCAAGGGGGAGTATTTTGAGAGGGATGAATGGCAATGTGTCATTTACTGTAATAAATTTTTTTACTTAAACATTCACTGTATCTTTTGATCATATATATATATATATATATATATATATATATATATATATATACATNATATATATATATATATATATATATATATATATATATATATACACATTTATACAGCCTTTATGTGATATTGCTCCATTTAAGAAAGAGAGCAAAACATAAGCTACAGACTAGGAAGGAGATGATATGTGAACACGTATACCTGACAAAAGATTAAGATCCAGCACTTGTTAGTAAGAATGTGTAGAAATTGGTACTCCTTGTGTGTGTGTGTAAATTGGTGGAGCTGCTGCAAAGAACAGTCTGGCAACAGGAGGTAAATGTGATAGTGCTCGTGGACCCAGAATTTCTACTCCTCCCACAGATTGCAAGAAGACGGGAGCAAGACTGATACAATGTTACAGCAAATTATTAGGACCAACCCAAGTAGCCACTGAGAGTAAAAGGAATTTTTAAACTGGTATATTTTATGCTGTGGAATACTGTACAGCACAGCATTTAAAAATAGTGAGCTAGATTCACATGTATCAGTATCAGTAAATCTCAGGAAAATAACACTGAGCAAATCACTCAAATTTTAGGAGGATATATATACAGTGTCTTATAGATAGCTAGATAGATGTTGACAGATAAATAGATACGCATGTATAAATTTTGAACGAGCAAAATATATAGTGTTCATGAATATATGCGTAAGAACAGTAGTTGAAAAGAAGGCATAGGAACCATTGGCATCAAATTCGAGATAGAGGTTACTTCCGGGGCACGAGGGCGTGTGGACCCAAGAGGCACATAGGTGGACTTGAATTGTAGTTCTAATATTTTATTCTTTAGAATGAAATCTGAAGCAAATTGTTAAGATTTGATAGGTGAGTACATGGGTATTCATTATTGTATTCTTTATAATTGCCTGTTAAAACATTTTGAACCCTGAGAATTATTTTCTAATCAAAGAAAAGGGTTCTTCTGTCGATCATTTCCGGCTTGAGGGTTGGGGATTGTTGAGAGAAGCTGACTAGAGGGCAAGGTAAACCCCAGAATACCAAAATTATGGCAGAAGGCCGGGGAAAATTAAGGGAGGTGTCTGTCTTCCATGGTTTTCCTCCGTATAAAGGTAGTAAGTAGCACAGCTGTCTGAAGTGGGAGTCCTGACAAAGATCAACCCCAGAAGGGAGCTTGTGCCAGAGAGGCAAGCAATGCACCAGGTGAAACTGCAAGCCTCAGACCAAGAGGGGGCGTTCTCCTTGCTTCCCAATCACCAGGAGCGGGCTTGCATCTTGCAAACAGGAATCTATTTACAGGATGAGGAAATACACACACATGCAGACATAATGAAGTGTCATAAAATATTTGAAGAAATTAGGGAGGCACCCCAAAAAGCAAAGAGACCTACTCATCACAAAATTGATTAATAGAGGAAAAAAGAAAAAAGTAAATAAAATGAAGAGGTTAGGGAGATACAAGAATTTATCACGTACAACCAATTCAAGAAAAACAGGCGGCTATGAAAAACATAACAAATTGAATAATTAGATATTGACAATGTAAATTTTAAAAAAAATCTCTTGAATTGAACTATCTAGCCAAAAGAATACATTTCCAAAGCCAATGGAAAGTTTGAAAAACTTAGGAACCACGGAGATAGCTATTACTAAGTTCCAACATCTGTATAATGGAAATCCCCAAAGGAAAGAAGAAAAACTGGAGGGAGAGGAGAAGGGGCAATAATAGGAGAAAAAGAGCATTTCATGCAGCTAAAGATAGTGGATGTTTTCATCCTCAGAGATTAGACAGCAGCATTCACAATATACAGCCTGTACAGTCTGTCTTTGTGCTGGGTTTTGTAAGGAATAAATGAAAGCCCTTTGGCCATTCTGTCTCCCTCAGCCTCCTGACGTTTCTCTCATTTTAATAAGAAAGGAGCAGGGGTGGGGTAGGGGGCAGTGAGTGGGGGGAGGGGGTTGTCACTTTGTGAGAGGTGAAAAGGATAACTAGTGCATTGTTTTGTACACCTGAAATTAATAATAATAATTAAAAAAACCAAAAACCCGCAATGAGATGCCACTTCCCACCCACTGGGAAGGATATAATGAAAAAGGTAGACAATGAGAAATGCTGGCAAGGATGTGGGGAAGTTGGAAAACCCTTATACATTACTGGTAGGAAAATAAAGTGGGCCAGTCGCTTTGGGGGGGTAAAAAAAAAAAAAAGGAGCAGAGTGATCTGACCTAGACGGGGCATCCCTTATTGTGTCAGTTTCCTCACTTATTATGTTTCCTTCTCCATCCTCACTTGATGTGACACTTCAAGACTGAATCACATTTTATCACCCTTCAGCACCCCTCGGCATATGACGTGTCTATGCTTTCATTTTGGTGTGTACTGTCTGCATTGTCTTGGTGGTGATGCACACACAATGAAGCCTCTTTGTATCTAAAATGAAATGTGTCTTTCTAAACAGCCAGATATGAAACTTTATATAAATTGTATTTCTATATATAATTGTTTGAGAGCACTTTGGAGAAATGATTGTTAATATGAAGTAACATTTTTCAAATTAATTGTTTTTCATCCCAGGTCTTGCACAGTCAGGCTCTTGGGGCTGTTTTGATGAGTTTAACAGAATTGAATTGCCTGTCTTATCAGTGGCAGCCCAGCAAATTCATATTATTTTGATGGCAAGAAAAGAGAGAAAAAAACAGTTCATTTTTTCTGATGGTGATTGTGTTGATTTAAATCCAGAATTTGGGATCTTCTTAACAATGGTGAGAACACAAGGTTTAAATACAACTTGATTAGACTTAAATGAAAGAAAATATCTATTAGTGGATAAATGACTGACTATTTAGGGGTCAGGAGCTATTCTCTCTTAACATATGATTTGTTTTGAGTAGTAAAAATAGCCGAGACAGAAAATAAAATAGTAATATGTTAATGATAATAATAGCTACTGTTTATTGAGCACTTATTATGTGTGAGGTAATAGGCTAAATGCTTTATGCATTATATCAGACAGGATAGCTATAGTAACAGTTTTCAAATCTTAATGGCTTAAAACCTCAAGGATTTATTTCTCCCTCATGCCACATGTCCACTGTGGTTTGATTGGGTAGGGGTAGGGAGAGCAGGTCTGCTTTATATGTCCTCACTCTGGGACTGCCTCTGTCATAGCTGGTTGCTGTAGCAAAGGAACAAGAGAACATGAAGAATTATGCTCTGGCTCTTAGAGTTTCTGTTCAGAAGTGATACAAGTCACAGCCATTGGCTAAAGCAATTTACAGGGCTGCACCCAACTTGAAAGGGCCAGGGAAGTATAGTTCTGTAGTGTATTTTGTACGGTGGACATTTTATAACTGAGGTACCTCAGACTCAGGGAGATTTTAAAACTTGCTCAAGTCACACAGCCAGTGAGAGAAAGATGCTGTTGTCTGTCTAACATCAACACCTGACTACTTAACGTCTACACTTGGTTTTTCTCTGAAACTTAATACAGGATGATAGAAATGATTTAAAATGTCCAAAAAGGTCCTATACCAAAGAACTGTAACAAATTTAGTTACCATGTAATGGAGAGCAGAACTCTGAGGTACAATATTGTAAAGATAGAAAACCAAAGGCATGAATAAATAGGAGTTTCTATGAATTGGAGAAATGATGTTAAAATGTTGAACCAGTTTTATTTAATGTTTTTATGTATTCTCTATTCATTTAAATCTCTAAGTTGCAAGATAACACAAAGTGTCCCAGTAGATAAATCATAGGAAGCAAAATCAAGAAAGTTTCTGATAAGCGTTATTGTGAACAAACATCTAGTAAGGCAGTTGGGGGTAAATAATAATCCTGAAGTGATCAGTTATAACTTAGAAAATGGAATGAAGAAATATACTCAGTGCGATAATGGTGGTGTAGAAGAATTTAAAAGAAGTTGAACAACCTCCCTGGATTCAGAATAATATTGAAAATATCAATTAGATACTGGATTAGGCTGTGAATAACTGAGACACAAAAGGTAGTGGTTTTAAGATTCTTCTGTTTCCTAACTCCATCATGGTTTCCAACGTCAAGGTCACTTTATGACCTAAGAGGCTACAGAAGCATCTCTGTTTTATCTCAGTCAACTAACTAAATCACCTCCATTCAAACAAACAAGGATATTTCATACAGTGTGTCTCTTTGCATTTTATGGTGTAGAATTTAATCAACCAGCTGCAAGGCAGGCTGGGAAATGTAGTTTTTAATCTGGGTAGTGATGCACCCAACCTGCATCTGGCATTCTGTAACTAAAGAAGGAGCAAAGAAGGAGCATTGATAGGCAAGCAGCAATCTCTGTATTCCCGGCACTTAGCAAGGCATCTGGCCTAGTGATGGTATCCAGTAAGTGGTCAGGGATTCAAGGTTTCTTAGTTCACTTTCCTAAAATAACTGACTTCTCTTTGCCTGACGTGTCTTTGAACCCCTAACCTTAATCCTGGGACGTTGGGGTCTGACCTGTCCTCATCCTGTAGCTACTTATGAGGCCTTAGCTTCCTTTCCACCTCTACACTTGTCTTTTTCAATACTTTTCTCATCATTCCCTCCTTTATTTCTCTTCACCTCCGTAAGTTTTTTTTTTTTTTAACAGGACTTTGTCAGACAAAGGACTCTTTAATTCTGACTGATAAGAATAATTGAAGAGAGGAGATTAAAATTACCTAAGTAGACTAATCAGTATGAAACCCTGAATTTTCTTCCTCTTTCAATAACATTTTCAATCATAATTATCCCTGTATTTATTCGTTTTTTTTTCCATTTTCTTTTCTATTTTTTTAACCAGTTGATAAATAGATACATAATTTTTGCTACACAAAGTGGTGTGTGTGCCTTTATTAATATAATAAAAATGGAAATATATAAAGGGAGTAATGTGACATTAATAAATATGGATGGCCCAATATACATTTTTGAGAAAGGAGGAAGCTTTTATGAATCTAATGATTTTTTCAATACCACCTTAGACTCTGAATTAGGGGTTTGAAATGTATTAATATTTGTGAAATAAAATTTAAATCAATAATTGAAACTTAAATAATTTTAACTTTTAGAACCCTGGATATGCTGGGCGCCAGGAACTGCCAGAAAACTTAAAAATTCAATTTAGAACTGTTGCTATGATGGTTCCTGATAGACAGGTATGCATTGGGATTTAAAAGCGTAATATAATTTTTGTTCTTCACTTGCTTTACACTAAAGTTGTTGAAAATTTCACTGTATTAATTTTTCAGATCATTATGCGAGTTAAACTTGCAAGCTGTGGTTTTCTTGAAAATGTTGTCTTGGCTCAGAAATTTTATGTTCTTTACAATCTCTGTGAGGAGCAACTTACTAAGCAGGTAACTCTGTTTTTCCCTTAGCCATAGAACTTGATCGTTTACTTTGCAGTTTTACCTTGAGAAATAAATGCTTATCAAGGAGCTTTTAAAAATCTCACTGTCTAGGGCCGGCCGAGTGGCTCAGTTGGTTAAGAGCTCGCTCAAGAGTTTGAGCTCTGAGCAACAGTGGTTCGAGTCCAGCCCGAGCTGAGCAGCCCCTGAGCTGCCAACAGGTAGCAGGATGGCTCAGCTAAAAAACAACAAAAAAAACCCCCCCCCCCAAAAAACCTCACTGTCTCATTTCTAAAATATATTTATAATTACTTTGACCTATTGATTATGTATTTTGAAAACTTTTTTATCTGGGAATAATTATAGATTCACAGGAATTTGCAAAGAAATGCACAGGAAGGTCCTGTGTACTCTTTACCCCACTTCCCGCGATGGAGACATCTTGTCACTATAGTACAATAACGAAACCAGAAAATCGGCACTGATACAACCCACAAAGTTTAAGATTTCACCAATTGTACATACACTCGTGTGTGTGTGTGTTCATTCATCTATGACCATAATCAGCACACAGAACTGATCTGTCACCACATGGTGTCCTCATGCTGCCCCATTATAGCCACAGCCAACTTGCTCCCAGACCCCTAAACCCTTGTAGCCACTAATCTTCCCCCCATCTCTATAATTTTATTTCAAGAATGTTATATAAATGGAGTCATATAACCTCTTTGGTTACATGTTTTAAATCTGTCTCTCAGACTGTATCAGACTGCCTTATTCTCAAAAGATGTTTAAAGCGCGACACTGTATCATTAGCTTGATCTTTTCAATGGAATGATGATCATTTGTCAGTTAAAGAAAAGATGGCAGAACTGAGCTAATAAAACTTTGCAGCTGAGCCACTCCAAAACTACAGTATATGTGTATCACAATATCTGGCTATATGTATACAGTGGGTCTACATTTAGAGCTTTTCAGTTAAATCTTCTTTTCTCTCTCTTTTCCCATCTTAGGTTCATTATGACTTCGGGCTGAGAAATATTCTATCTGTGTTGAGGACACTTGGAGCTCAGAAAAGAGCCCGACCGGAAGATACTGAATTTAGCATTGTCATGAGAGTACTAAGAGATATGAACCTTTCTAAATTGGTATCTTTCTTCTCCAAATTCACTTCTCTTTCAAAATTTTGACCTAGTTTCTTTCTACTTAGCCGACCAATAGGGATGGGCTTGTGTTAAGCTAGGAGCATTAACAATTGCAGGGACAATGGGTGTGCAAAGCTACCCCTATGCCTCCAGGAGGCAGAAAACCCCATGGCCTCGGATGACCACTGTGGGCTGGAAATTCATCCTTTGGTCAGTTGAGTGCTGAGCCTTCATCAGTGGGCTTCAGCCCCAAAACTTCAGTCCATTCCTTTATCATTATTCATAATATAGTACATATTCTAAACGTGAAAATCTGGATTCACTGGGAACCATGAGAATTCTTTGCTTTGTCTGTATATGATTAGCTTATCTCAGCTGTGTCTCTCCCAAAACATCAACATTATTTCTGTTTTCCAAAATGCGTTGAAAGTTTGCCATGGAGATTATAATAGTTATTTCACCACTTTCATTCTTGTCACAATGGTAGCCAAGTTGTTTTGAATTAGCTGATGGACAAGTTCATGGGGTGTTTATTCAGGGGCCTCTCTAGGCTATGTATTGTGTCCACGCCCTGGGAGAACAAGGTTGAAGAAGAAATGGTTCCTAGGGAGCCCACATTTTAGCTACAAAAGCTAATAATTAACATCTGTGTAGTTCATTACTATTCCAGAGACTTTTCAGGGGTATTGTCTTTTTTGAGTCTTAGCCACTCTGTGGGATATGGGTGACTAGAGTGTTTATGGCCATTTTACTTGTGAGGGAACTGAGATTCGGAGCGTTTGGAGAACCCACCACAATCGCAGTCAGTTGAGAAGCTGGAACAAAAATCCACAAGACTTTCTGATGCCAGATTCTCTGCTCCGTCCAGTAGACCTCACTGCCTCCCTTAGATAATGATATTCTTAAAACTACAGACAAGAATTCTAGAAAGCAACAGGGGAGCCCCAGAAAACACAGAGTGGTTAGCAGTTGGGAATGGGGTGCTGTAGACATGAAAGATGTAGCTAATAAGGATTAGCGTCAGAGTACTTACATCTGCAATAGTTGGAACTCTGATGGTTTTCCAGCCGATGTTGGATGAGCAAGTCATACAGGGTTATGGGTATTTTCCTTATTTAAATGAAATATTAATATTTTATTCTCATGGGGTTGGGACTGTCATTTGTTTTTTATGGTTAATGCATATACCTGTCTGTGAGAAGCAAAGCATTCATATGATAAAGTAAATGAGAGCAAACCTTGGAGCAGTAGCTTGTAGAAGACATTGAATGCCAAGGAACTTGGGATGCAATGCTGTAGGTAACTGGGTTCAGTGGTGGTGTTCAGGAGAAAGTGTTAGAGGATACAAGTCTGGTTCAGAGAGTAATATATCTCTAGGCATGAAGTGATGAGTGCTATGTGCTTCCTAGCTGGTTGATAAACATTTGTGGACTGAACACACAAATTTATTCTATGCCATCTTAGGTTGATGAAGATGAGCCCCTGTTCCTCAGCTTAATCAATGACCTGTTTCCAGGATTACAACTGGATAGTAGTACTTACGTGGAACTCCAAGCCGCAGTAGCCAACCAGGTCAAGATAGAAGGTTTGATTAACCATCCCCCCTGGAATCTCAAACTTGTGCAGGTAAAGACATTTTAATCTATTATCAATATAATGATAGGCATGCGTTGTTAAACATCACCGTTTGAGGAGAACTCATGATATTAGTCTTACTCGATGTAATTGTTGACACAAAATTAAAACACATCAATACAAGAAGAGTCCTCAGGAGGATGGAGGATGTGTTGGTCCTAGTGGGATAGTATGGATTTATTGAGGTTACTTATACCTGGTGAGAAGGTTGGGTGGTAACCAGACTCTCAAAAACAGTTGGGTGGGGATATGAAGTTATGAAAACACAGGGAGCTGGGGTGATCCAGCTGGCTTCTTGCACCCGGTCCGGCAGTATCGCCGTGGCTGGGTGCCTTTGTGGGACACGGAGCCTGAGGAATCTGGTAGTGTTACTTTGCTCCTGCTTTGTGTGTGGACATGTTCACACACCTACACTTGAATCTTTGTCTGCGTCTCTTGGTATCTTTCTGTTCCTCACATTTCACCCATGACAACCACCCAGCCACTTTATCAGCAGAGTCAAGAAACTGTAGCAGAGACACAGGATGAAATCTCTATGAACTTCATGCTTTGGGGGTATTTTCCAGGGCTTTTGGAATATGAATGAGCTGAAACTTTGGAGACTGTTAAAAACTGTATTTGAAAAACAACAATTCTTATTTTAACTTACTATTTTTGCCAGATTATAAGAAGTGCAAGTATATGAAACGTATCCAAATCTTGCAAGGAAATATTTAAAGTTTAAAAGTTTAAGTATTATTCATCATCCATGTATTGGAAACCACTTAAAAACTTTTTTTTAATTTCTGAGAAAACATTTTGTATTTGATATTCATACAGTATGCTGAGTACGAAAATCCTGCTAAACTCAGTGGGTGGGGGACTACAATATTATGTTCTTTTTTGATGTCAGTGACATTACTCTTTGATATATTGTTATGACCAGTGCCTCTGTTGGCTTTTAAACTAAGGGTTACAGTAGTAATATCTATCTAAAATGGAAGGAGAAGAATTCAAATTCTACCGCTGATCTGCTGTGAGACCTGTGAATTCTTGTTTTTATTAAGAAGCCAATAGACAGGATGTTGTACCAGACGCTGTCCAGGCTCTGAGTGTCTCTCCTTGAACCTCTCTCACCATTTCTGTGTGCACTTCCTCAGCTTCCGTGTGATTCTAATACATTCACCCACATTCACCACTCCCTTCTGAAGACCTGGAGCCACTTTGTTGCCATGCCTGGGGTTTTATTTTCCACCCACTCCCAAACCAACATCTTAGTAAAGGACTAATGGGTTACCCTCTACAGGATTTTGTCCTCAACCACACCTTGCTTGGCTTTTCCCCATTCCTGGTCTGCTTCCCCCACTCCCTTATCAATTTCTCCTGGGAGCACTGCCTGAATAAATCACTTGCACAAGAATCCTCAGCTCAAGCTGTGTTACTGAGTAACTGGAAGGCGGATGTGTAACTTGGATCTTCACCATAATGATGTGTGTTGCTGCTTTCCACCACGAGGGGGCGATATAATCACATTGCATGCAGACGGGAGAAACTGCTCGATATGTATCAGCAAAACAAAATGACAAGGACTAGTAGTTTGAGATGCAGAAACTATATCCCGAATTAATTATTTCCAAAATGTAATCCAAATTCCATATTGTCATTACTTTATCAGTTGTATCGTTTTATAACATGGTGTTAATTTGCTATCTACGTTCAGTAAAACAAAAAACATTTATATCTTCTCATCTTTCAAATAATGAACTAGTTACTTCAGTGAAGCACTGATTAAAAGCTTTTTAAATTTCAGCACACTACTTCCATGAATGTCAGCAAGAGACAAGTTACATTTTTCAATTGATTGTTTCATTTCATTACGTAGTTATACGAGACATCGCTGGTACGTCATGGCTTGATGACTCTTGGGCCCAGTGGTTCAGGGAAGACAGCCGTTATAACTATCCTGATGAAGGCACTAACAGAATGCGGCAGGCCTCACAGAGAAATGCGAATGAATCCGAAAGCTATTACTGCGCCTCAGATGTTTGGCCGACTGGACACTGCTACCAATGATTGGACAGATGGGATTTTTTCTACGCTGTGGAGAAAAACATTAAAAGCTAAAAAAGGTACACATAAGCTCTCCTTTGTGGTCAGTGTTTTCGGGCCAGTTTATTAATGAGTTATTTGCATAATTTTCTGCTTTAATTATTTTCAAGTGAAAAGTGATTTTCTGTTTTAATTATTCACAGGTGAAAACATATTCCTTACTTTAGATGGCCCTGTAGATGCCATTTGGATCGAGAACTTAAATTCTGTGTTGGATGACAATAAGACGCTCACGTTAGCTAATGGAGATCGCATCCCCATGTCCCCCAGTTGTAAGCTTCTGTTCGAAGTCCACAATATTGAGAATGCCTCTCCTGCCACGGTTTCTCGGATGGGCATGGTCTATATCAGCAGCTCTGCTCTCAGCTGGAGGCCGATATTACAGGTGCGGAAGAGAGACCCCCCCCCCAGAAGCAGGCTCAGTATCTTTCTATGTTTCACTTTCTTAATAAACAGAGACTCTGTTTCTTTGCTGCAGGCATGGTTGAACAAGCGCACTGCACAGGAAGCGTCTGTATTCCAAAGTCTGTATGATAAAATATTTGAAGATATATATACATTTATGAAACTAAACCTCAATCCAAAAATGCAACTCTTAGAGTGCAACTATATCATGCAAGTAAGATTTTCCTTTTTGTACATTCACTACTTAGATTTGAGATTCCCCCCCCCCACTAGTTGCAGTTTAGAGGCATCTGAAATAGAAAATACACGCAGTCCATAGAAATCTTTTTATCATGTGGCTGTGAAGGCTCTGAGAAGTTGGATTCCTATTAAAGAGCTCATTAATGCTGTTTCTGCTATCTCTTTTCTATTTTCATTTCCCAGGGGAGTGTTGTCAGGAGAAGAGGAACGAACCATCTTTCTCATTGTCAAGCTTAGTAACCTTCCCAGAAAGTGTGTCCAATAATGAGAGTAGGTAACATAAATAAATAAAGCTGGCAGTTCTATAGAAAAGTACAAAAAAGAGCTGGTGGCAATCAGGAACAGATGGATGGCAATCTTGGCTTTGCAAATTTAGTATATGTCAGGGAACGCTTTAAACAGTTCTCCAAGTAGTTTGTAGTATTTTTTTCCTTACTCAGTTTTCCTTATTACTCTTTGGGGGAAAAAAAAACCAACAGAACTGAGCATAGATTTTTAAGGGCTCTCCTGATTCTAGTCTATAAGTGATCTCTCATTATCCATTCTAGTGCTTTGATTCTCTCTTAGTGTAAGGGGTATCAGTCAGTGAAGATGGGTGGGTTCGAAATAATGTATAAGGCAGAAATCAATGAATATTTAGTAATTACTTAAAATGCATAATATAAGTGAAAATCCTATCTTGAAATAATGTTGTTTTAAAAGACTAAGGATGTCTTACTTGTAGATACATTTCTTTCTGATGCCATATGGGGGTTGGCACACTTTTTCTTAAAAGGGTATATAGGGCAAATATTTTAGGCTTTGCATAAGTAAATATTTTAGGCTTTGTACAACTCTCTGTTTCATCTACTCACCTCTGCTGTTGTATTGCAAAAGCAGCCAGACACAATGTGTGCATGAATGAGTGTGACTCCATTTCAGTAAAACTTTATTTACCAAACAGGTGGCTGGCCCCTGGGGCCACAGTTTTCTGAGCCCTGCAAAATGTTAAAAAGAAATAAAATCCTTGATCTAGAAAATTGGGAGTAACCAAACTTTAGAACCAGAAATTACCTTTGAAAACACATAGTCTAGGCTTTTTGCTTTTCACATCAGGAAACAGAGACTCAGAAAGGTTAGTGGCATGAGCTGGGACTAGAAACCTTACCTCTAGATTACCAGGTTAGTGTCCTTTCTGCTAGGCCATGCAGCCTGATGAAAGCAGGATGATTTTTCTTTGAAATGCTGATGGCTGTTGGACAGTGATCATGCAGTGTCTGGAGATATATTTGTTTTCTGTTTCCCTCCTCCTTCTAAGTTTATTATCATTTACATTTTTTACTTAAAACATTTAAATGTAGAATTTTTTTTTATTGTATTTCAAATATTTTCAGTCTCTCACTCTTCTGGAAGGTTTAATTCCCTCAAAAGAAGAAGGCGGTGTTTCATGTGTCGAACATCTTCATAAATTATTTGTGTTTGGCCTAATGTGGAGCTTAGGAGCCCCTCTGGAGTTGGAAAGCAGAGACAAGCTTGAAGCCTTTTTACGAAATCACGGAAGCAAGTTAGACTTACCAAAAATACCTAAAGGCACAAATCAAACCATGTATGAGTTTTATGTTACGGATTATGGTAAGCACAGTGACTTATACCTGAAATGAAATGACAGTATTTTTAATGGGAAAAATATAAAGTCTTCTATGGGGAAATAGTAAACCAATTATGAATAACATAATAGCTAATACATTTTTAAGGGGCATATATATGCAAAGAGTAGTATAATGTTGCACACTGGCCATGTTGGGAACTGGTATAGAGACTCTTGACTTCTCCTTTTGGAGTGGCCTAAGTGAAATCTGGCACAAATAAGTTAGCAACACCTCTTACATTATCTACTTTCTAATGCGTGACAAGGAAAGACAGCAGTGTAGAGAACACAGATTCTTCATGATGCAGGAACAGATCAATCCCACAACTTCCCTGTTGGAAATGTCAGAATAAGTAGAGAACGAACCAGACAGATGGGTCCTGCATACATGTAGCAGACCCAGCCTCCAGTGTGTGGAGGGCCCAGCTCACCTCTCTCTAAAAGAAATGCCCTTGAGCTTGGTGCCTTTATCCAGAGCCACGCTCCCAGTTTTTCTAACTCTGAGAGAAGAAAAATCATGCTTCCTAAAAACTGTACCTACCTCTGATTCTTCCTAAAACCCCAAAAGAGCAAAGGTAGTTTTTTTTAATGCATAAACTCAAAAGAACAGAAGAGTAGACAGCAATAACATTTGGAAAGCATGAAAGCAGAAAGGTAAGTGGCAGTTGATTTAGCACACTGGGCAAAAAGATAACCCTAAACCAGCAGTGGGAAGAGTTGAGAAGCAATGTAAAGTATATTACATTACCTTCTAAGGGTTCAGGCATTGAAAACGGGGGTGAAGGTAGAGGTAAAAACCAGAGGGCTGATTGTAAGTCTGCTTAAGAAACACACCTCCAGGTCCTCTTTCCAAAGCCACACTGCTAGACAACCGCACCTCCCCCACACTGGCCAGAGACTGAAAAGTTAGTGTTTGGAGAGTGTAAAACACAGGGTTGCCTGGGCTTGGGGGACTCTAGTCACATTTGAGGGTAGGGGAATCACTTGAAAATGGGGATTAAGTGGAAGTTTGTGTTTTTAAAGGGCTTTTATAAAGAAACTGAGGTAAATTAATTTTTTTCAGCTGGCCACCTTTCACCAGAATGACCAGTAATTTTACAGCATGTGATTAGATGCTATTAAAGATTTGGGATGATAAAAGGGAACTCTAACTCAAAATGCAGACTAAAATTAAATGCATCCTTAAATCTAGATGTGAATTCCCTTAGAATCCAGAGCCAACCAAAAGAGGCAAAATAAATTTAATTATCAAATGCCACATATAGATATTAGATTAGATATTAGATAAGAGATTAGATAAGCAGATATATTAACATGTTTTAGGAAAATATTTAAAATGTTTACATGAGTCTGTTGATTGTTTATAGCCTTGTATTTTTGTATTCTGATTACTTCTGAAGAATGCAGTTTGATTAAGGTCAATTTTTACTTATTGCATAGGTGATTGGGAGCACTGGAATAAGAGACTTCAGCCATATTCTTACCCAACTGACAGTGTTCCAGAATATGCATCAATTTTGGTTCCAAATGTTGACAATATTAGAACAAATTTTTTGATAGACACCATTGCAAAGCAAAATAAAGTAAGTTTGATAGTTTCTTAGATGATCATAAGACATGTAAGAAACACATTCCCTTTCCACACACTACAGAAAGAAAAATTAAATTCCAGCACAGTGGGCTGGAGGTAGTGTCATCTGAGAGAAACATGTTTGGGAATGAACCCCACATCCCAGGATATACTTCTAACTCAATATCCTCCAGACTGCTGACTCCCAGCTTGCTAAGGAAAGTGGGTTTCTGCTTATGAAATCCTTCCATACTCCTGTGGACAGGTGAATATTCACTCATTGTTTCTTGCAGCACTTTTATAGTACATTTTACTTTTAAATCTTTAATTCAACTAGGATTTATAGTGATGTAGGGGTAATTCTAAAAAATCTTTAGAAATGAGTTGTATTCATTTATAGACTGAAAGAATGGCTACTAGAACCATAAGCTGTTACAACTAAACATGTTGTATAACACCTTTCACCATGATTATCCTGTGATTGCAGGCTGTTTTGCTCATAGGAGAGCAGGGAACTGCAAAAACTGTCATGGTTAAGGCCTATTTGAAAAAATATGATCCCGAAGTACACTTATCCAAAAGTCTAAACTTTTCATCTGCCACGGAACCAATGATGTTTCAGGTAAAGCCCATCATTTGCTGGAGTATTCCACATATTAAATATTTTAAGTCATGGTTATACTAAAATATATATGCATATAAAACATTGAGGTATATGTAAATAGATATAGATATATCAGAAGAAATGGTGTTGCAGTTGGCATTCAGCTATTTAAACTTCCTAAGGCAGAGATTTAAGACAAATCCAAATAGCATATTTTAATTAATAGCCTAGGAGTTATTAATAGACTAAAATTGGATTAATAGCTGAATATTCAGGCTGAAGCAGATATTTGGAGTGTCTCTCTTTTAACATAAATTAATGATTAACATTCCAATAACTTATTTTATTTTAGTTCACAATATATATGTTAATAATGACATTTGTACATATTAAGTAAATTATGTTTTACTCTGGAAAACATGCTCATACTTTTTTGAAATATGGATTGAGATTGTTTTCATTTTTTAGTTTCAGGTGTACAACATAATGTAATAGTTAGACATTTACACCCCTTGCAAAGTGATAACCACCCTTCCCCAATCTACTGTCCCTCTGACATCGTATAGAGCTGTTACAATTCCATTGACTCTATTCCCTATGCTGTACTCCACATCCTGTGACTATATTTATACATGTTAAATTATAGCTGACATTTAGTATTATTCAGCTTCAGCTTCAGGTGTACAGTGCGGTGATCAGGCATCTACACTGCCCATGAACTGGTCTCCCTAATAAGACAAGCGCCCATCTGACACCCTGCAAAATCTTTACAGCATTATTGATTTAGATCGAAACTTAATGCATAAGATAAACCATTTCTTTGTCTTAGAGAACAATTGAAAGCTATGTGGATAAGCGAATGGGAAGCACATATGGGCCACCAGGAGGAAGAAAAATGACTGTATTTATTGACGATATTAATATGCCAGTCATTAATGAATGGGGAGATCAGGTATGATATTTAATCAGTAGTCTTAGTTATATATAAAAATGTGAATAGCCTTCATCTTACTAAGAACAGTAAGAATTCTCAGTCTTTTTTAAAAATTAAATTTATTGTGGTGACATTGGTTAATGAAATTATATAGGTTTCAAATACATCAAAATAATACATCATAAAAAAAATACATCATCTGTATGTTGCATTGTGTGTTCACCATCCAAAGTCAGATCTCTTTCTGTCACCATATATTTAACCCCCTTTACCCTCCTCTCCCCCTCCCCCTCCCCCCTTACCCTCTGGTAACCACTAAACTGTTGTCTGTGTCTATGAGTTTTTGCTTGTTTGTCTTGTTTGTTGTTTTCAATTTTATATCCCACGTATGAATGAAATCATATGGTTCTTGACTTTTTCTGTCTAACTTATTTTGCTTAGCATAATAATCTCAAGATCCATCCAGTGTCTCATCTTTTCTTATGGCTGAGTTATAGTTGACGTTCTCCCTCCTTGGACTCCCTCTGCAGTTTTCAGCAACACGCCCTCCTGTCTCTCTGCCACCTGATTTTGGTGTCCTTTCTGGCTCCTCTCTTCCCAGGGTTTTAGCCTTGCTCTCTTATCTCTTATTCTACAGACTCTCCAAGGAGTACTTGATTTAGAAAACACTTTTGTGTAACTCTTCCACACACCCCTGTCCTAGTTGTGATCATTTGTCAGTCCCAAGAGTCACCCCCCAATAGAGAGCCTCACTGATGCTGTCAGACTTCCATGTGTTCCTCATGGGATCCCGAACACCTGTTTCCCACCGCCAGCCACTGCCTCATCAGCACCATGGACCTGGAGCTGCCAGGACCCATCCCGTCCCACCCTTTATCCCGGTTCACCTCAGACACCCTCGGGAGGTCAGGACTCCCAGGCCTGTGCTCACCCTGGGACTAATCCCCAAACAGCTCTGCATGGCCCTTCTCTGACCTCATTCCCTACTTTCCTCACTCCTGGAACCTTTCTGTGTGCCCCCAGAAGCCACGGTTCAGCCACAAAATTCCCTGTCAATTCAACTTCTCTGAACTTTCCCTTCACCGCTTGCTCTAATGGAAACCCAAGATGCCACATTCCCTGAAGACTTCTCCAAGTTGAAAACCTGGGCCTGGCAGCGAGGCGGGTGTCCTCCTCGCTTCTCATTGCCTTCCTCCCTGAAAACCGGTCAGTCTCACCTTATGCCCTCCTTACGTCATCTCAGGCCCTTAGATAACACCCCTTCTTTCCCTGAAGATTTCAGTTCCCGAATCACTGTTACTCTCTCCTGCACTCTTCCTGTCACCAGGGCCAGCTTCATGGCTGTGAGCTGTGCCATCCCACGGGGACTCACACTTCAAAGGGACCTACATGTGGTTTAATGCTCTGTTGTAGCCATCTTGAAATTCTTAATAGTTTTGTAAAAGGAGCCTTGCATTTTCATTTTGCCCTGTGCCACATAAATTATGCAGCCTATTTTCATAATTCTTGGTGATGCCAATACCTGCTTATGTGGTCTTGGCCTCTTAGTTCCTTGACATTGCCTCTTCCAATGATTGTGTCTTCCACCCTGTCTGAATGACTCATTCATGCAGTCATATCTTGCACTTTGTCACTGTCAATGTGACACCTTCATTATCTCAATTTCAAGCATTTTATTCTCTGATTACCATGTCCACTCTTTGTAGCTTATTCCTTCTGCTGTCCAGACTCCAGGTGGAGCTACTATTTATTTTTCATACCATCAATAAATTATCCCCCATTTGCTCTCATTTCCTCACTTCTTTTCCCAGCTAAAATTCCATGATCCATCATTATAATCACTGTAGCATACACCTTCTCAGCATCTGCCTTAACCATGTTAAAGTCTTGTTAAAACTTTTTGTCTGTGCTCCATCCGCCAGCACCCATGTAACTACATTGACTGGAGAAACCCACACAATCCTGGTTTCACTTTAAAATCATGATCATAGACCTCAGCTGAGCTCTTCATGCTGCCCAGGAATCATACTGCATGTGTCATGTTTTATATCTTTGTCCTGTCCTGCATATCCATTCAGGCTTCTGCTTTGGGAGAGGACTATTTCATACTTTCTTCTTTTGCCCAGATCTCCAACACCCTCATATCCTTGCCCTCAGCTGAGCATAGGTGTGTTGCAGCTTTCTTCCTATTTCTCTGAGGAAATTGATTTTTTTTCCTTTTGCTTACTACCTATATACTGTACTCAATTTCTATGTTCTAGTGGTTACTCTAGACAGTACATTCTGCATAAACAGATAATCAAAAATAATCAAACCCTTTTTTCCCGTTTTGTATATCCAATGACCTTCGGACACTTCAATTTCCTTTATCTTTCTCCTGACTTATTTTATTGTTGACTTGCATTTTAAGTCTATATATCTCTTTTTAAAAAGATCTCCCATGAGGCATTATTTTTACTGTTTTATATATTCAGTCTTCATTTGCGTTACCCACATATTTACCACTTTCTTTGCTCTTTATTTATTCTTGCATCACGGGCCTTCCTTCAGGTATCATGTCTCTTCTGCTTTTAGAACTTCCTTTAGAGAAGGTCTTTCAATGACTAATTCTTAGTTTTTGTTTGTCTGCAAATGTCTTTATTTCATCTTCTTTATTTGAAATACATTGCTGCTGGATGTAAAAATCTATGTTGGCAAGTATTTTCTCTCATCACGTTGAATATTATTCCTCTCTTCTGTTTTCCTTGTTGCCGTTAAGAAGTCAACTACCACACAAGCATTGCACCTCTGTAGTTAATCTGCCTTTTTTCACTTGCTTCTTTTAAGACTTTCTCTTTACCTTACTTTCCTATATATTTTTCTTTTTTTTAAATGATGTTCCTTGGTGTAGATTTATTTGTATTTATTTGCTTGAGATTCAGGGGGACTAGTGACTCTGTGGTTTGGTGCCTTTCGTCAGTTCTGGAAAATTCCCAGTCTTTACTGCTTCTGTCTCGCTTTCTTCCCTCTTTTTTCAGCCTCTATCTAAATGTATAATTGACTTTCTTCTATGCCCTCTATGTTTCTGTAATTCTCTTCTGTACATCCTAACCTTTTCCCTCTTCAGTGCTTATGTTCTAGATTATTTCCCCTCTCTGTCTTCCACTTCACTAATTTTATCCCTTTTTTTAGTCTAATCTACTGTCAAATTATTCATTGAGTTTTAATTCTAATTACTATTTGATTCTCTTTTCTTTCAAATATGTTGTCATTTTTTATAATTTCCTATTCCTTACATATATTTTCAAATTTGCCGTTTATTTTTTTAAACATGTTGAGCACAGTTGTTTTAATTTCTGTGTCTGTTAATTCCAGCATGTGAAGTCAGTCTATGTGGGTCTGTTTCTGTTTTCTATGGCTTTAATAGTTTTTGTTCAGTTTCAAACTGTCTTGTTTTCTGTATGTATTTTTGACTGATTGCCAGGTCATTACCCTTGAAAAATTATTGGTGGCTATTTCTTAAAGCCTAAGATGGATATGCCCTCATTCAGACAGGTTTTGAGTTGTTTCCTAGTCCTTAAGAACTTATTTAATCAGGATCATCTCACAGCAAGGTTAAGATTCGAAAGTCTCTGGTCCACTTAGGCTATGAATACCCGGGGTGTATACCTGTGCAAGTGTCATTCTGAGGCCAAAACCTCCCAGTAAAGACTTCCTTTCCCTTTTCCACTTACATTCAGCAGGGTTCCAAGGCAGATAGACCTCTCAGCAGTTCTAATAAGGTGAGGAGAATGGAGGCATATTTAGATATCACCTATAAACTCTGAAGAGCTCCTGAATTTCAGGCTCATTTTATCCAATTAAGGATGTCTAGTTGGATCCCAAACTTAACATGTCCAAAGTCAAATTCCTATTATTCCCTAAACCTGCCCTTCCAACAGTGCTCTCCATCTCAAGAAATAGCAACTGTACATTCATTCTGTCAGAAAATCATGTTGGCTCTATCTTTAGACTACATCCAAGATTTGACCACTACTTATCACCTCCATTGCTAATACCTGTGCAAATCACCATGTCTCTTCTTGATCATTACAAATGCCTTCTCATTACCTCCCTGTTTTCCTTGCCTCCTCAATCTATTCTCATATCAGCAATCAATTAAAATATGAGTGATATCATGGCACACTCCTCTGCTCAAAATCCTCCCAGACTTGCAGAACATAAGTGCCAAAGTCCTTACCATGACCCAAAAACCTTACTCTCTGATCTCACCTCCCCTGACTCTGCTCCAACCACATTTACCGAGCCTTGTATACACTGGGTATGATGTTTACTCAGTACCCCTGTATTTCCTATTTGCTTCATCTGGAATGTTCTTCCCCTAGATATCTAAATGGTTTCCTTTCTCACCTCCTTCAAGTCTTTGCTTATATGTCATGTGAGGTGAAACCTGCCCTGCTCCCCATATTCAGTTGTACCCGTGAGCATTGCCTATTTCCTTTCTCTGCTGTATTTTTTCCAAAGCACTTACAATGTACCATTTTATTTACATGCATACATATATACAAACATACATGTGTACATTTGTCTCCTACCACTAGAATGTGTACACTTGAAGACAGGGATTTTTGTCTATGCTAAAACAGAGCTGGACACACAGTAGTCATTCATTAAATGTTGAATGAAACAACTGCTTTATTTGAGGTGTTTGTGTGTCATCCACTTGGAGGTGCCCAATAGGAATTTGGACATACAGGTGTGGAGCTTTGAAGGGAATGTGAAGCTAGGGTTACAGAATTGAGATTCTTTAGGGTATAGGGTTGAAATGGCATCTCCTGAAATAGTGAGAAGAGCAAAGGAAAGAAGGAACCCTGAAGAACAGTTACATGTGAGGGATGGGTGGAGAAAGGGTGGCTTAGGAAGCTGCCCAGAGTCACAAGGTGAACCTGGAAAAAACTGAGTCTCTGAAACAAAGAGAGGAAAAATTTTCAATGAGGAGAGAATTTTATAAATGTTAGAGGCTGTAGAAAAGATAAAATGAGGACACAAAACCAAAAATGAAACATTCAGTAATATACTATTGAAAGCTCAGGAGTAAAACCATCCCACCTTCTGATTTAAAGTATTTTGAAGTGTTGAATTTTGAGTGTGAAGGAATCTATAGTAAAACTGGTAACTCTGAGTGCTTTTGTAATTGTACCAAATATTCCACAATTCACGTATCTAAATTTATTTGGAAACTAGTTTTATCAATGCGATGAAGAATACTTTGGATTTACACCACACGTTTAACATATGATTTAGACTTCATGGGTGGCGTCATTTAAGATGATCATTGACATTCACAAACACATCAGTGATAAGAGCTGAATATTTTCTTCTAATCTCATCTGCACTATTTTATATGGAGGAATGTGATAGTGATGTGTTACTAAAATATTGCTGTATAACATTTCAGATCACTAATGAGATTGTACGACAAATGATGGAAATGGAAGGAATGTACAGCCTGGACAAGCCTGGAGACTTCACCACTATTATGGATGTACAGCTCATAGCAGCAATGATCCACCCCGGAGGTGGTCGAAATGATATTCCACAACGTTTAAAAAGGCAATTTACCGTGTTTAATTGCACATTGCCTTCAAATGCTTCAATAGACAAAATTTTTGGTATGACTATTCTAGGTGTTTAATTTTTTTTATTGCGTTACATAGTGGACATTAACCATGGAAAATCTTATGTAAGAGATAAAAAGGCTCTGTCTGAAGTAGGGATTAAGTGTCTGAAATAGAGAGCTGAATACCATAAAAGAGGGACTAAATACTAAGTAGACATGTTTAAAACTTAATTTAAGACTTAGGAATATTTAGAAATAGCCTTGTTGAAGGTCAGCTTTAGAGGTGAGCAAACCTTTGTGTTTTGGTTTTCCTGGCATGAATCAGTCAGAAATTTGGGCTAATGAGTGATAGCACGTTGACCATAGGTTAACAGTATAATATACCAAGTCAAATGTTGCACTTTGATATGTTAATGAAAATGAAATTTTTGATGCCAAATTTAGGCTCACATAAACTGTACCATCAAAACTTACGTTCATGAAGACTTACAAGAGAAACTGACCCATGCATATGTAGACATTAATTATTTGAGAGCAAGTACTGTAGATCAGAAAGGAAAGGGTAGACTTTGAATATGTGGTACTGAGATATTTAGTAATTCTTATGGAGAAATAATTGAAATTGGACTCTTACTTCATGCCAACATAAAATCAATACAGATGGATTAAAGACCTAAATATAGAAAGCAACGCTTATAAAATGTTTGGGAGAAAATATAGGAAAATATCCTTTGTGTAGGAGAAAACTTCTTAAATGAGACTCAAAAAAGCATAAGCCATAGAGGAAAAAAATGATAAATTTGACTAGATTAAAATTAAGAACGTCTATTCATCTAAAAAGTAACATTAATAGAGTAAAAAGAAAAGCCCCCAAAGTGGAAAAAAAAATTCAACACATATAATAAAACAAAAAAAAAGGTAGTAGTCTGAATATTTTTAAAAATTTTATGAATCAATCAGAGAAAAGCAAATAACCTAATATAAAAATGGGCAAAAAACCAGGCACTTTAAGAAGAGGTAACCAAATGGCCAATAAACAAATGTAAAGATGATAAGTATTAATATTCAGGAGAATGAAAATTTTAAAACATCAAGGAAATACTATATTATACCCACTAGATTTGCAAAAATGAAAAATTCTGACTAAATCAGGCATTGGTGAGAATGTGAAGCAACTGGGACTCTCATCCCTGCTGGTGGGCATGCAAATTGCTGCCAGCCCTTTGTGCAACAACTGGATATTATTACTCGTAAAGCAGAACATGTGTACACCCACAGGAGTTCCACTTCTGTTGGGTTGTCGGAAAAGTCATGACATATTTTTTCTGTTTTTCATTGCAAAAATGCGTCATGATTTTTCCGACAAACCAATAGTTATATACCAACTTATCCCTTTTTTCCTTTTCTAACCCAGAGGGCACGTGGATAGCCTCCTATATTTTCTTCTAAATGTTGTATAGTTTTGCCTTCCATATTAAAGTCCTTGATACATCAGTAGCTGATTTTGCATATGTGCACCAGAAGACCTATGAACAATGTTCATCAGAGCAAATACCATCAAATATTTATTGATGATAAAATAGGATAAATAAATGGTGGCACGGCTAACAGCGGAATGCTATGCAGCAGTGAATACAAACACACACCTCTACATGCGTCAACATGGACGAAGCCTAGAAATACCATGCTGAGGAAAAGAAGCAAGTCGCAGAGGAATATATGAGTCCATTAAATTAAATCTCCAAAATTAAGGTTAAGAAAAAAGGTTAAAGTTCAGAAACATAATGGCGAAGCTACAAAGAAAAGCAAGTTACTGATTCTCACCAATTCAGAGTAGTGGTTTCTTCTGGAGGAAGGAACAAGGCTGGACAAACAGGGGCTCCTAGCATACTGGGGCCATGCTGTGTTTCTCACTCCTTGTAGTCTACGCATGGGTGATTGCTTATTTGTTAAACTATTTTGTACACCCTTGTATATATATTGAAAATGACATATGGAAACCAACCAGAAACTGAGGCTCAGAGAAGAGAAATAACTACCCAACCAAGGCCGTTTCGCCAGTGCATGGCAGAGGTGTGCTGCTAGCCCTGTTTTCTGATTCCAGATGGCATGCTTCTTATATTACACATTTGTCCCACAGGAAGGTGGAGATTTAGAATTACAGGATTTCAGGAAGCAAAAGGGCCCCACAGGCATCTAGCATAACAAGCCATAACTTTGGAGGACAAGTTCATGTTCCCTCAAGGCTGCTGTTCTTCGGCCTATGTGAATGAAGCCCAGTTCTTTAGCTGCTCCACCCTTAGTAAACCTGCTCAGCCTCTCTGAGCAGATACTCATATTGGTATTCCCCTGAAAATACTGTGCTCAGAACTCAATACACCATCTCACTGGAGGTGAAGTAGAGTACATCTGTTTTTGTAGTCTAAAACCAAACACAGTTTGAGACTTCAGGAATAGTCTATAAACCTACAACTCAGTCCTTCCTGGGGGTGATTACGTCAGCCTGTCATAGTTCTGGATGTTTCTGAGGAACCAGTTGATGGCCAGCAGGTCAGGAGATGTGGGTCTGGATTCCAATTCTACCAACAACCAATCCACGTGACCTTGAACAACTTGCTTTCCCTGTCTGGGCCTGGGCTCCTCGTCTGTAAGATGAGGATGTAGTCTCTAAGTTCTTTGTCAGCTCAGGTGCACTTCTGGGTGAGTGCTGTCCTACAGGCCCTGGAGCCAGGTTCCTGGGTCCAAATCTCAGATTCACCCACACACAAGCTGTGTGACCTTGGGCAAGTAACTCATATTAAAATGGGGGGAATAATAATAATAATAATAATAATAATAATAATAATAATAATAAACAACATCTACCTCAGATTCTTTTTCATAAGATGTTGGAGGATTAAATGAGTTAACTCTGCATACTGAGCTTTGCAGCCCCCACTGCTGATTTCCAGTCTTAGCTGATTCTTTAAGAGAAATTCCTAATGTCACCTAGTTGGTCTTGTCATGATTTATTTACAGGGATAAACATTCACCTTATCGTCTCTTAGTAAGCGTGTACCTCCAATCTTGTTTATTTTCCAGGAGTCATTGGCTGTGGGTACTTTGACCCTTGCAGAAAGTTCAAACCTGAAATATGTGAGATGATTTCAAATTTAGTTTCAGCGGGCAGACTGCTGTGGCAGTGGACTAAGGTACAGAATCACTTGTTGTCAATAATAAAAGAAAGGCAACTATTCAGCTTTGTTCTCACCTCGTGGCTCATGAAATTATCACCACATTATATGTGGTAGTGCTTTTTAGGAAAAGACAAATTAGGTGCTCAAATAGATTTATGAAACTTTTTCCTCCCAGGGAGCAAATATTATGACTAAATGATTCTTTCCATATGCATGATGTATTATTATAAACCAGACAAGACATCCAAGATAAAGTAGAATTTTGATGAAATGAGAACACAGCTTTTCCACTTGTTACTCTGATTTGTAATTCTTTGTATGTCTGTCTCCCCCCAGCCACAACTAAACTATGTTAGACACAAATGTTTACTGACTGAGTGAATATTTGGATTTCCAGATATTCTTAGATAACCAAGTCTGCCTTGTGTATTTCTTGAAGGTGGAGAAGGACAGATGGAAGCGTACGTAAAGTAGGCTCGAATTTAATACACAAGTCAGTGCCCTAAGTAAAGCTCAGCAGACCAGAGAGCCTAAGGCAGACTCATGAAAAAGCAATTAAATATAGGTCTGAGATAAAAACAAAGTTGATATATTTGCCAAAAAATGGCAAAGGAGATAAGGATTAGTTATCATAATTCACTATAAGTTCATCAGGCCAATTACACACATCTGGGCAGAAGCTCCTGTTGTGAGGAAACTGGGAATGTGCCAGCCTTTCAGCTTCCTGGGTGGATAGGCAGAAGTCTAGATACAGCATTATCAGAAGAGGAATGGAGTGTTTCTTATGAAATGCTCTTCCGTGCAGACCCTGCAGTGATCAGTTCCTTGTATAAGGCTGGCTGCTTGTCAACACGGGTCTTTGCACGTGCTGTTCTGCCTCTCTTAAAGAAACTCCACATAGAACAGCAAGGTCTGAGTGTCTGTGGTACTTTTCTGTGGTAAGAAGTGGGGCAATTATTCAATGTAATGTGACTTTGGACATATTTTTCTGAAAAGCTTTGACCTTCCTAGTGTCTTTCTGTCGAAGCCTCTTTTGTTATGGTCAAATTTACTGGCTCCACTTTCTTACCTCTTTAACCCATTTTGCCCAAGCTTTCGTTTCCACTGCTCTCATCAAGGTCATCGAAGACCTCAATCTTGCTAAATCCAAAGGTCAATTTGTTCTTCCTCTTACTTGACTTTTTAGTAATATTTGACATAAATGATCACTCTGAACACTTTCTTTACTGGACTTCAGAGGGGCCTCATTTTCTTGGTTTTCCCTATCACATTGGCTACCTTTTTTCTAAGCCCCCTTTTGTAACCCTCCTCTAAGTACTGTGTGCTACCTGATCTGAATACTGGGACTTCTCTGCCTCCATTCTTTACCCAGGTCATCTCATCCAGCTTCAAGGTTCAAACAGCATCTCTGTGCTGATGACTGCAGAAGTCCTCCATCCCAGGCCTCTGCTTGGCCCCAGATGCATTTCCAATTGCTTAGGAAACATCACCGTTTTGATGTCTAATAACCATCTCAATTAACATGTCCAAATAGAACTCTTAATTGTCCTTAAACATGATCCTTTCTCAGACTTTTGCATCTTAGTTAACAGTAACAACAATTATCCTGCTTCTCAAGCTGAAAAACTGGGCATGATTCTTGCTTTGTCTTTTTCATCCCCTATATCCAATCCATCAGCAAGTCTCCGTAACTTTCAAAATACGTTCCAAAGCTGAGCCCTTAGTGCCATGTCACTGTGAACCCTGATAGATGCTTCCATCACCTACCCTCTGGACCATGCAGTGACTTCCTAACCAATCTCCTTGTTTTTTCTTTGCCTTCCCTAGAGTCTGTTTTTTACATAGTCCTAAAATGCTTTTTAAAGAAAGTAAATCAGAGATCATTACTCCCTCTTAAAACCACCAGTAGATTCCCAGTTACACTTACAATGAAACCCAATGCCTTAGTCTGGCCTATGAACCCCAACCTGAGCTGGCCCCTGCTTACCTCTCTGCTCGTCCATCATTCTGCTCCAGCTATGCTGCCCCTCTCATGCTGTTGCTTGAGAATCCCAAGTTTCATGCCTCTGAGCCATTATACTTCATTTGACTAATTCTCATCATTCTTACCTTCAGAGGTGCTCTCCTGGATTATTTTCTCTAAAATAATTACTTCCATGGCCCCATCTCAGGCATTATCTGTCGCCCCCTGACCCTAGTTTATCTTTTATAACCATGACTTTCATTGTTATTGTCTATATGTTTGTTTATCAAATATTTGTTTCCTATTTATTGGCAGGCTCCCCAACTAGCATGGAAGCTCCCTGATGATACCAGATTTAGCTGTCCTGTTTAGCGTGCTATTTTCCTAAGGGTGGTGGGAGCTGCTCAGAAATAGTCATTGAAACACAAATGAATCTTCCTCTTATCCCCTCCCCCAAATAAGCAGCCTTCTTTATACTTTTTCTTCAAATTGCCTATCTTCACAAAGCACTCTTTTAATCCACTCGCCTTGCATATCACTTCACCTTTATGTTTACATAGTCTTAAGGCAGAAGCAGGCAAGAAAAGAAAGAAGTTGACAAAAATTAAAGAGAAACACTAGAAGAGAAGGGAAGAAGCAGGTTAATAAATGAGAAGAAGAGGGGAAGAAAGGAATTTAATTCTGTTTAACGGTTGCTTCAGTTGCCAATGGCTGCCATCCTAGCTGCAGCAAAGAAGAAAAAGCAACATTCACAGAGTCCTTTTTCCTTTATTTTTTGCATATTTGTGATATAAGTGTTTTACATTTTGGTGAGTAGAATGAACATTTTAGCTTGGCATGGAAATGAGCAAAGAGAGAAATAACACTTCTCCTCATTCTCCTTTCCTTGCTACCTGCTGTTTTAACTTCCACTGTGAATTAGCCTGTAAAAATTACTCTACAAACTCAATAGGTTACTATTTCAATATAGAAAGGATATGTCCCATGAATTGGTACTAAAGAAAGCATTTGCTTTCCTAAATTAGTCATGTGGAGAGTCTGCTTTGTATCTCCAGAATTATCACTGTTTCACTTTCAAAAATGATGCTAATGATATCAATTACAATCTTTATATGTAGCTAGCAATGCTTCCCACACTTAGTACACCTCAAGTTTATCCCTAACTGGAATCTCTCTGTATAAGAATGTGTCATTGTTATAGCTTTGCCTGTTTGGATTCCAGAAGTTGGTAGAAATAATAAATAAATTAGTGTTCAAACCAACAAAAGAAACCCAGGAAAACCACCTAGTAATTAGCAGCTTCATTTCAGACTTGCCTGTCAGCTTATTATATTAATAGATATACAGATTTATGAAAGCATGCTGGCTGAGCTTGGATCCCCTCAGTGAAATGTAGATTATCATAAAAAAATATATTTGTGGAAACCAAACACATTAAGGACCTTATCAAAGCAGTCTATAGAGCATAGCCATTATTGAATTTAGAACTGAATACTCATTGTTCCTAACTGCATGACAATCAGCTCACACTGTCATTTGTTGCCATATTTCCATATACTACTAATAAGGTTAATAATGATTAGGAATGCTTATTCCCACAACTCACTTATTTTTTAAGAACTCAAGAGAAAGTGACTCATTCAAAGCCAAGTAATGGTGTTAGAACAGGGGTTGGAATCCATATCTAGCACATTATACTTATAGGGAATCCACCCTATTCAAGGGCTTATGTCTTTTAAATTCTATGTTAGTTTATTTATGATATATGTTTTTTTCTGTGAGTGCTGTGACAAATATATAAACTTAATCTTGGTTTATTTCCTCAGCCTATTTTATGTAAATAGGATTTTATTTGAAATAAAATAGTTCTAAAAGCAGTTCTACTTTTAGTTTTATCTGAAAAGCAAATTGAGAGTATCACTTTTTATTTTTCATGTCTAGGTGAAGATGCTGCCAACTCCTTCTAAATTTCATTACATTTTCAATCTCCGAGATCTTTCCAGAATTTGGCAAGGAATGTTAACCATAAAAGCCGAGGAGTGTGATTCGATCTCTGTCCTCCTGTCACTTTTCAAACATGAGTGCAACAGAGTAATTGCAGACAGGTATCTATTACAGCACTTGAGTTTAATGTGCCGTATAAGAACTTTATACTACTAAATTAATTCCTGCATTATCTACTCAGATCAGTAGAGTAAGGAACAGTGTCCTAATTTGCTCTGGTGCTCGGGAAACATCGATGTTATTTCCCACCTGCTGGATGCTTTTAAAAGAAAAATCCTTTGCCAATTTACTTGAATGTTATTTCAACAGGACATCTTTTTAAATCACCACATTATCAGAGAGTTGATAACATTCAGAGGCAAATTTTATGTCCATTTTCTAAAAACTTTGAGCTCTGTGTAGGTTTTGCATGGTGGAAGCTGGTACATAAACTCAGTCATCTTTCTGAGCCTGTTTCCTCCTCTGTAAAATCTGAATGGTAATACCGGCCTTACAGAGTTGTAAAGGGCCTATCACAATGTCTCACACATGGGTGGTAGTCGTCAAATGTTAGTCCCCGTCTTCCTATCTTCCCCCCGATAGTGTAAACCTGAAAAGGAGCTTTGTTCACTGTATGACCATAAACCCAGAAAGAGGATGCTTGCTCACTACTGACTGTCACTTCTACACTCCTATTGTAAGTTTTAGGGACCTTTGACCTCACTTAACTGACTCATCTGTATTATTCAAGAAAAAATATTTATGACACTTGTTAAAACAAAAAAGCACACAGTCTTTATGCAGGACTATCGGGATAGCTATAGGGACTACTGCAATGGAAGTTTGTAGTAGGGCAGAGAGGTTGGGCTCAGCTCCTAAAGAAACAAGGAAAAGGTGGGAATTTATAGCCAAGGGAAAAGATGGGGGAGGTTGGTGGATAAAAAATTACTAAAGAGGAAACATCAGAGGTCCAGGGAGATTCTCACTAATCCTATGAGGTAATAGGATTCTTGCTGAAAGCAAGCCAGGTGGTCAGCTATTACCCCAGGGGATGATGAAGAATGAGGAATTTGGTCAGATATGGAGGGTGATCAGATATTGGGGGTGGGGAATTCTGGCTAAATGGACTTGACAGGATTCCTGCTAAAATTGGGTGATGCAGAGGACATGGAAGTCCAAAAGTCAAGGCCTAATTGGGAATAGGATTCAGAGGAGCCTGACTAAGTTTGGTCAAGAAGAGATTCTTTGTCAGTATTTTCTATAAGTAAGACTATCGATGTTATAACTTTCTTGGATGGGGTTATGTCCTTCTTGTCAGAAGGCAGAACATAATATTTTCCTGTTCTGACATGACAGAGGTGCAGGATGGGGGCTGAAAGAAGGTGGGGGGAGGTTGAAACCATGTTCAGTTAGAAAAGATGACTTAATATTTTGCATTTTTACTCCTGTATGTTTCTTTCAGGTTTATAACTCATGAAGATAAGCTATGGTTTAATGTACATCTTATTCAAGCAATTGAAGAAAATACTAGTGCAGAAATGACATCATATATTCTTCCTGAACCATACTTTGTAGATTTTCTCCGTGAGATGCCTGAACCAACTGGTGATGAACCTGAAGACGCTCTATTTGAAGTACCCAAACTCTATGAATTGGTAATTATTCTCACCTTTTAAAAAGAGGGGTTGTTTTTTTTTTTGATCACTCACCTAATTAGATATTTCTCCCTGTACCAGAATCTCACCATGACATTGCCATAACTTTTACATAGTTATATGTTGTGATTTGTGTCATCATACACCAAGTAAAATATTTCTTTCAATGAAGTTTAGCAGCAGTCCCTTTAAAGTCAGGTATAAGACAGGTATACTTGATAATATCATTATTTAATATTACTTGAAAATTCTAGAAACTGCAACAAAATGACAAAAAGAAAATCCATGTATACACCTGAACTAATATAATATTTAATGTCAACTGTACTTAAAAATAAAAAAGTATTAAAAATAATGAGTAATTAAAATAAAGAAATGTAATTATCAGATAGGAAAAAACAAAAGTATCATTATTTGCAGATGATATTATGATCTCTTAATACAATCCAAGAAGACTTAAAATCTCTTGTAAGTACTAAGAATTCCGTAAGATGACCAAGCATGATATAAATATAAAACTCAATAACTTTCCTCTACACCAGAGTTTGGTAAATTATAGTCAATGGACCAAATCCAGTCACTGTCAGTTTCTTGTTAAATTTGTGAGCTAAGAAGGGTTTTTACATTTTCAAGTGGGTAGAAAAAAAATAAAAAAGAATAATATTGTGTGACATTTGAAAACTACATGGAATTCAAATTTCAGAGTTCAGAGCTGAACCAAAGTCCTACGACTAAGAACATACAGAAGAATCCACTTCGACACTGGTACAAGGATCAGAGACACAGAGTGGGCTGGTTTCCCACCAATGTGTGACCATTAAAAATCAGCTGCAGAGGTCCCACCTGGAGAAATGAGGGGTCCCAGCCTTATGCAGGGCTCCCCAGCCCAGTGTCAGTGCTGGGGAGAGAAGTCCTTATAACTTCTGGCTGTGCAAACCAGCAGAGATTGTGGCTAAGTGAGACAAGGGTGGTTACATTCCCAGGTGCTTCTCTTAAAGGACCCACGCACATGGACTTACTCCAGGATGGACTCACTCACTCTGAGCTCCAGCACTGGGGTAGCACCTTGAAAGGCCCCAGGGACTTACGGGGAGGAACTGAGTTGTTTGGCTTCCGGACAAGGGCTAAAAAAGCAGATTTCTCCCAGGCAGAAATGCTAGAAGAATCCATTTTCTCTTAGTTGAGTCCTGTCCTCTACCCAGTGTGCAGACACAGGTGGCTGCCATATCTGAGTCTCCATCAATCTGGCTAACACCCTTTGTGTGCTCCTGCCTGATGAGTCCCTGAGATCATACCCCACCTAACTTGCACATCCAGTGGCTCTTCCTTAGAAACAGCCTGCTTTGGTTTATACTATAGACCAAAGTTTATACTATAGACCAGATTTTTCTTAAATTTGGTCTATAAAATTTCTTAAAATTTCTCGAAAGTTAACAAAACCAAAACAAGCAGCATCTGGCTTTGGCATGTCCTATACATCTGGCTGAGCAGCCCCAAATCTGGCACTAGTGGCGCCAGACTTGGTTTGCAGTTTGGCCTCTCGAGGCACCTCCAAGCCCAGCATGGGTTGTGGCTATCTGTGGATTGCTTTGTGGTTCATGCCAGGTGGCTCCAGGCAGGGCAAATGCAATGGCTGAACTTGGCCAGGGGAGGGCCATTAGCTGAAATGCCCAGTGGTCAGCTCAGACCAAGCTGGAGCATCACCAGGTTGCCTCCTAGGATGACACACCCAAAGGGCAGACTGGGCAGGCAACACAGCTCAGCTAAAGTGAATCCTGCTGTGTAGAGTCAGCCCCTGCATAACGGCACCTCCACTGTAGTCATGGCCAGTCCTCACAACCAATCAGCCTGAAGATCAGTCCCTCTATTGACATGCAGTTAGCAACCCAGCCTCAACTACAACAAGAGGACACATCCAACCCACACAAAGGACACACCTGGAACACCAGGCTCAGGTGACCAGTGAGACTGCACACTGGGTCCCATGGGACATCTACTACATAAGGCAGCTCTACTAAGACCAGGAGACATAGCAGCTCAACCTAATACATAGAAACAAACACAGGGAGGCAGCCAAAATGGGGAGACAAAGAAACATGTCCCAAATGAAAGAACAGAACAAAGCTCCAGAAAAGGAGCTAAACAAAATGGAGACAAGCTATCTACCAGGCACAGAATTCAAAACACTTGTTGTAAGGAGCCCAGTGATCTCAGGGAGAACTTCAACAAAAAGACAAGAAACACAAAAATGGAGATAGAAAACATAAAAAAAGAACCGGTCAGAAATTAAGAATACAATAACTGAAATGAAGAATACATTAGAGGCAATCAACAATAGATTAAATGAAGCAGAGGTTCACATCACTGATTTAGAAGATAAGGAAGCAGAGAACACTCAATCAGAATAGCAAAAAGAAAAAAGAATCCAAAAAATGAGGATAGTTTAAGGGAACTCTGGGACATCAAGCATACCAACATTTGCATCATAACAGTACCAAAAGAAAAGAGCGAGAGAGCAAGGAAGTGAAAACCTATTTGAAGAAATAATCATGAAAAACTTTTCTAACCTGGTGAAGGAAATAGACATACAAGCTGAGGAAGCACAGAAAGTCCAAACAAGATGAACCCAAAGAGTGTCACACCAAGACACATCATAATTAAAATGCCGAAGATTAAAGACAAAGAGAATCTTAAGATCAGCAAGAGAAAAGCAGTTAGTTACCTACAAGGGAGCTCCCGTAGGACTGTCAGCTGGTTTCTCAACAGAAACTTTGCAGCCCAGAAGGGATTGGTACAAATTATTGAAAGTGGTGAAAAGCAAGGACCTGCAACCAAGATTACTCTGCCCAGCAAAGCTATCTTTTAGAATTGAATGACAGAGAAATAGCTTCTCAGACAAGAATAGGGAAAAGGAGCTCATCTCCACGAAACCAGTATGACAAGGAATCTTAGAGGGACTTCTTTAAGATGAAAAAATATATATGTGTGAATAATAAAATGGCAATAACTACATATCTATCAACAAATACTTTAAATGTAAATGTATGAAATGCTTCAATGAAAGGACACAGGATAGCTGAGTGGATAAGAAAACAAGACCTTACATATGCTGCCTACAAGTGACTCACTTGAGATCGAAACACACACAGACTTAAAGGAAAGGGATGGAAAAAGATATTTCATGAAAATGAAAACAACAAAAAAGCTGGAGTAGCAATACTTATACCAGACAAAATAGACTTTAAAACAAAGGCTATAACAAGAGATAAAGAAGGATCCCAGTAATCCCACTTCAGGGTATTTATCTGAAGAAACCCAAAATACTACTTTGAGGGGAAATGTGCATCCATATGGTCATTGCAGCATTTTCCACAATGGCCAAGATGAGGAGGCAACCTGGTTGTTTGTCAATGGATGAATGGATAAAGAGGAGGTGGTTCATATATACAGTGGAATATTAGCTTGGCCATGGAAAGGAATGGTTCTTGCCATCTGTAGTGGTATGAATGGACCTGGAGGGTGTTATGCTGAGTGGAGTATGTAAGACAGAAAAAGACAGATGCAATGTGATTTTGCTTATATGTGGAATCTAAAGAACAAAATAAAAAAGCAAACAAAACTGAAATAAACTCATAGATACAGAGAACATTTTGATGGTTGCCAGATGGGAAGGGGTTGGGTGAGGTACCTGAAAAAGTGGAAGGGATTAAGAAGTACAAATTTGTTGTTACACAGTAGCCACGGGGATGTAGGGTATAGCATAAGGTATATATTGAGTTGTCAGAAAAGTCATGACGCATTTTTTTCTATGTTTTGCATTGCAAAAATGGGTCGTGACATTTCCGACAACCCAATAGAAAATAATATTGTAATAACTGTGTATGGTGTCAGATGTGTACTAGATTTTTGGGGGTGATAGATGGGAGGAAGGTGGGGGACAGGGTGAAAAAGGTGAAGGGATTAAGAAGTACAAATTGATAGTTACAAAAGTCATAGGGATGTAAAGCAAAGCATAGGGAATATAGTCATTAATATGGTGATAACTATGTATAGTGCCAGGTGGGTATTAGACTCGTCAGGGGGATCACTTCTTAAATAAATGTCTAATCACTAAGCTGTATACCTGAAATTAATATAAAATGATATTGAATGTCAACTATAATTGAAAATTTTTAAAGGGTGGAAGAGGTGAAGGGAAAAAGAGGCCCAAATTTCCAGGTACAAAACAAGTAAATCATGGGGATGTAATATACAGCATAGAGAATATAGTCAATAATATCGTGATAGTGTGGTATAGTGTCAGATGGTTGCTGGACTTATCATGGTGAGCACTTCTTTAGGTATATAAATGTTAAATAACTATGGTATACATCTGAAACTAATATAATATTGCATGTTATCTTAGTTATATTTTAATAAAATTCTTTAAAAATAAAATTTCAGTATAGTTTTATTGGAACACAGGCATACCCATTTGTTTCTAAATTGTCTATGACAGCTTTCACATGACAACTTGAGAGCTGAATAGCTCTTCCAGGGACCATACAGGCCACAAAGCCTGAAATATGTACTATGTTGACCTTCACAAAAAAAGTTTGCCACATCTTTCCAACAATTACAAAATAGAAAATATAGCATAAAAATATTTTATTCAACAGCAAAAAATATGTAAAATATATCTAGGCATAAACATGATAAAGCTTACTTGGTTAAATGGCAATACATCATTTTTCCTAAATTAATGTAGAGGTTTAATGAAGTTTGAAAGAAAACTCCAAAGGGATTTTAAAATACGGCATATAACAAAGTAATTCTGAAGTGCATGTAGATCACAGAACTAACTGGGGAGAAACAATTTGCAAAACACATATGTGAATATTTATCAGAACAATTTGACTACATAAGCAATCTGAAACTTCTGTATAGGTTTTAAAATTACAAACGATATTAAAAAGCAAATAAAAACTGACAGAAATATTTGTTATAGTCCAACCTTAACTCTTTTGCTGCGATGTTTGGATATGTTTTCATGTGGCTTTCACTATCAACAACAGAGATGATTTGTATGCCATATTGTGTAACATTTTGTAATAAATATTTTATGTCCTCAGTGCCATTAGATTCTAATTTATTTATACTTAAATCTAATTGATGCCACTTAGTATGTTTTGAGTATTTTTTTGCTAAAATTCAATATAACTGTAAATTTATTACCATATAACAAAAGTTTAAAATAAAAAATGTCATTTATGTACAAAGCAGCTCAAAATGTTATTAAATGCATAAAATAGTCAAAATATCAACTTTTTTTGTGTGTGTATTTTTGACACATTTTGAAAAAAACACCTTGAAATCAATTAAAGCAGTGAAAAAAGTTAATTAATATGGATAGGACTTGATGCTGGGGTTCTAGAAGGGAACAGTGAGGAATAATTTCATATTGGAAAGAAGTTTCAGGCTTCTGAGAGTGGAAATAACTAAAGTCAACTAATCCATGACAAGGTTTTGGAAATCTGTTAGGTTTAAAAAAAAATTATAATTACTTTTGAGTGTCTTTACAATTGCTACTTTCATAAATTTTGGTTCCTAAATATTATGTTTCTCTCTCTTTTTCCATTCATAGATACCATCCTTTGAGTTTCTGAGTGAAAAACTCCAATTTTACCAGAGACAGTTCAATGAAATCATTAGAGGGACATCTCTTGATCTGGTGTTTTTTAAAGATGCAATGACTCATCTTATTAAGGTTCTATCTATTGACTGTTTACTAATATAAAATGGTCATGTAAACACTTAGCAAATTTCACAAATAAACTTTTTGAGATAATAAACATATAGTATCAGGTAGCATGTGAAAGAGTATCCATAGGTTGGGTCAGTTCATTGTCTTAGAAAACAAAGGCTTAATCAGAAACCCCTCATTTGAATTCACCTATGTGACAGCACATGTTACAAGGGCAATTTAATGGGGTTTGTGTTCAGAGCTTTTGACACACTGAGTCAGTTTTATCTTCCTAGAAAGTAAGCTGGAGAACCTTGTGAAGAAATATTCCCTCCTCAAATTATATTTTGAAATAATGGAAGAAAAGTTGATGCTTTTAAAAATGTCAATTTCATGATTGGCTCACAGATTAGGAGCAAACTGGTCGAGAAGGGGTAAGGCGAGTGTACAGGACTGGTGAGAAAATAGAATCCAGTTAGAGGTGGCACCAAAAAGGAATATGGTTTGATCCAAGGCTGAGAGGCTACAGAAAGAAGTTATTTGTATAATTTGTAGATCAAAAGGTGTTTCTCCAGGAGTTAGAATGCAGAGTAGAGAGGTTTGATAAAGAGGGCAGTTAGTACTATGTTTATTCAGTTTTATTTTGCGACATTGGTGGTGAATTTCTAGATGTCCTAGGCCTGCTTCACATTCATCCACTCAGCAAGTAATTATTTAGTACCCACTGTGGCTAGGTCTTAGGGGCCTTGGACCCTATTCTCGGTGAAAAACCATATAAGTGATTAATATATTTAAAATATAATTTTGGTATTTTTAAAGAGTTTTCATTGGGAGAGATATGATAGAGAGTCTTTGTTGTAGAGGTTGGTGTCTATTTAAGTGTGTTAGACTGACAAATAATAAGCAAACAATGCTACACTTCTTTCTGCAGATTGGCAAGAACATCTCCACCATCCACTGAGTTGAAAATTAAAAAATCACACACACACACACACACACACACACACACACACACACACACACACATACACACAGAGAATAGTTTTGAAATAGGAAAGACAATTAGGTCTGTTTTTCATGTGTAACTATAGATGGTCAAGGAAAGAATTTGAATCGAATTAATATGAATTTTAATTTTTAAATTCTGAGATGTAGCATTAAAGGAAAAAGTTTAATATAGTATAGAAACATATGGTCAAACCTTGGACCCATTTAATGCAAGAAAATGTAAACAGTTGATTTCTATTCTTGAATAAATACTATTTTCATTTTAAAACAGATTTCACGAATAATTAGAACATCATGTGGAAATGCATTGCTGGTGGGTGTTGGTGGTTCCGGAAAACAAAGTCTTTCAAAATTGGCCTCATTTATAGCTGGATATCACATATTCCAGATAACGTTAACCAGGTAAGATAAAATAAAACACGACAATATGTTTTTCTATAGTGAATTTATCTGGGGTAAAATATTTACTTAAAAAATACAACAATGTGGTTATTTCTTTTTTAAATAACCTGTTTATTTAAGTGGAGCATATATAAGGAAAGGTACACAAATCATGGGTGTCACAAAGTAAGTCCACCTATGTAGCTAGCCCACAGATGAAGAAATAAAATATTGCTAGCACCTCAGAAGTAATTCCTCATGTCCTGTCCTAGTCATAGGGTAACCATATTCCAACTTCTAAGCCCATTGATTAGTTTTGCCTATTTTTGAATTTTATATCAATTGAAACATACACTATTTACTCTTTTGTGTCATTTTGTTACTTGCATTATGTTTTTGAGGTTCATCCATGATGCTATATGTACCAGTAGTTTGTTCATTTTTATTGATGTATAATCTACCACTTGATTGCATATTACCACAATTTGTTTATCTATTGTACTGTTGATAAACATTTGTGGGTTTGATTTTTTTGCAAATAGAGCTGTTATTTTATGAATACTATCAATATTCTTGTACATGTCTTAATATACTCCTAGAGAGAGAATTGCGGAATATAGAGTATGTATATATATATATATTCAGCTTTAGTAGATCTGTGGACTAGTTATCCAATGTGGTTCACCAGTGTACACTTCCACCAACTTCCAAGTTCATGAGGGTTTCAATTCCTCCACATCCTTGCCTGCCCTTGGCATTGTGAATCTTTTTCACTTTAGCAAACCTGGTGGGTGTGCAGTGAGACATCATTGTGGCTTTAGTTTGCATTTCCCAGATGGCTAATAATGTTCAGTACATTTTCATCTCTTACTGGCCATTTCGACAGCTTGTTTTGTGAAATATCAATTGAAGTCCTTTACCCATTTTTTCAAGTGGAGTATGGTATTTCTCTTATTGGATTTTAGTAGTTCTTTCTGTATTATGGCTATCATTTTTTTTGGTCAGAGCATGTATTGCAAATCTCCCACTCATTGACTTGCCTGTTCACTCTTTTTTTTTT